GAATAGGCGAGCTTATATTTCAAAGTTAAAGTTCTTGCAAAGAGAAAAGCGAAAAGATCAACAAAGTGAGTTGATCTAGCTTGATCTAGCTGATCAAGAATAGATAATTATATATACAGTATATATATACACCTTTTAGGATCTAAGATGCTTCCTTCTGCCTGTTACCTAGTTATGCACAAAACTAATTTACCCTTTTTAACTATTTTTTGTATGTGTTAAGGGTAAAGAGAAAAAGTAAAAGGTTTTCCTTTTTACTAAGCTGCTAACCCGCAGCGCGACACATTGAAGCTGCTGTGTGCGTGTGTGTGTGTGTAATTCTCACAGCAACTTTGTCAGCATTTCCATAGCACTGCCCAGCAATAAACAGATATATATATATATATATATATATATATATATATATATATATATATATATATATATATATATATATATATTTGTGTATACATTGTACAAGTATCTGCGTGCGTCTCAAAAAGTATTCGCTGTCTTGTGCCTGCGGCTGGACTCGACTCGTTTATTGATTTTTCCTTTTGTTATATTGTTGCAAAGAAGTTTATGCTACACATTTACACACATTTTGCGGCTCAGATTGTTCTATTTTTTTTTTTTCAGCTACTTCCGTTTCCCCTTCGAAATCCGGCTGATGAGTATATTTATAATTGCACTTTACGAACTTACAAACGCGCCAAGAGCGGGCGTGTGCTTGGGCGAGAGGGTGCGTTTGGTGAGCTGGGGAGTATCCTTCACAGTATTAATTAAGTTGGCCAACTACTCGCTCGCCTCTTGTCCAGCTCAGCTGCCGCTGGCTGCTTGAGCTTGGCAACACGCTTTCAAGTGAAATGGCTCGCTGAGTGGGTCATTGGCTGTGGTTGTGGCTGTGGCTGTGGTTCGTATCTTCGGCTCTTATTAGTGTCCACTTGCCGGAGCGACACTTGCTGCCAATGACGTCATGACGTCAATTGCGGCTGGCCAGCGCATTGCCGCTTAACATGCATGTTGCATGCGTGACAGCAATTAATACGCGACTTCAAAGCTGAAACGCCACGCCAAGTTGTAGGCTATGATTTCTGGACTTGCTAAGACAGATTCTAAACAAAACTGTTGGTGCTGATTGATTGATTGACTGACTGTAATCGACAGTTGTTGAGGAAAGTTACCTTCGGAAACTAAAATATTAAATAGTTGTTAGACTTAAAATTATTTATACAGATTTTCAAAATGAATTCAAAGCAAGAACTTTTCTAGAAATTTAAGATTTCCAATCACACGCAATAAATACAAAATACATGTGCAATAATCCAGGCGTTAGCTGGGAAAAGTGCCGGAAAATTGTTTTGCAATTAAATTACATTTCTCTGCTCGTATATTCATATTGACTTTGGCTTATGCCTAAGTCTATTTATAGCACAAACATTTCGTGTACTCTATTTATAGCTTTAGCATATTTGTGCGTAACACACGGCGTATGCGCAATAAGTAAGCTAATTGAAGCTCACATGCGACTGACATTTGGGAACTGAATGGAGTTCTTATTTTTGACAGCTGTGAAATGTTGAGCTCCGCATGTTGCATAGTCCACAAGCAAACCAAATGCAAATAGCGCAAGACTTTGTAAATGTTAAGCAAAAATGCTTTTGGTATTTTCTAGCTGAATTGAATGTAAACATAAAACCCAATCGACAGCCAGAGAGAGAGAAAAAGAGAGAGAGAGAGGGAGGGAGAGAGAGACAGAGAGTCGATCTCTAATCGGTAAAATTGTAATGCGTTAAGTAAATAATCATATATTCGCTAGATGATGATACGAGTGCGCTTCATTGAATGAATAATTTGTGCATATGCTTTATGTAAATATGCTATATATACATATATAAATGTATTTGTGTGTGTGTGACTGCTGCAATTTATATGCACATAATTTATGGAGCAGCGCATTGTTACATTTCGTGCATAAAATAAATACTTTTTCTGGCTATTTTTCATGCACAAATTAGTGAGGTCCGTCACACACACACTCACACACACGCGCACACACACAGAGAGTGCTGGCAGGAATACAATGCCTTTTCCAACACTGTTTTATGCTGAAGTACTAGCTGTGCGAGACAGCCAAGTCCTGAACTCGTTTGTTAAATCGCCATCGATTTTTGATACCCCGCAGACGTAAAGCTGCTATGAAAGGGTTTAATAACCGTTAACTAATTAGAAATTCAAGATTTGAACCAGCGACTTCTCGCTTGTGAGTGCGAAACACAGTAGAAACGTATTATATTTGATATACCCCGCGGCCATAAAGCTGCTATGAAAGGGTTTAATAACCGTTAACTAATTAGAAATTCAAGATTTGAACCAGCGACTTCTCGCTTGTGAGCGCGACTTAGTAAGCATCAATGCGTTTACGGGATTGGTTCCGCCGTACAACCCTAGCATTTATATAGATAAGTTAAAAAACTATTTACAGGGCAAGATTTGAACCAGCGACTTCTCGCTTTCGAGTGCGACACTCAGTAAAAATGTAAGCATCAAAGCGTTTACGACTTCCTGCAGTCAGGACAAACTCTTGCATCTATATAGATAAATTTAAAGATAAATTGAAAAGCTATTTACAGGGTATCTGACGGTCAGTAAGCTGTTCCTTCTGTCTTGTGCCTTTTATTGCTACTCTGGCTGTTATTATTGTTTCGCCTGCCAATATTTTATTTGTGCGTTTGCTTTTGGCCACATCTTTCTGTTGCGGAGTGGAAAATGCCTGGCTGGGAAAGCGTTAATTGAAAGCCATACAAATTGTGGCCCGGCTCGAAGGCAATTATAAAATGGCTTTCCCCTTCTTCCTTATCCCTTCTCCTTGCTCCTTGCTCCTGCTCTTCGGCTGGGTCAGCCTTCATCCTTCTGTTACTTGGCCAGCCTGGCTGTTGGCTGTTGATTGTAGCGTGAAATGGCCACGCCGAAGGCAGCTAATGCCATGATTTAACATTTGTTGGCAACAAAACAAGCGACACACACACACGCGCACACTCTTTCTCTCTCACACACACACACTCACACGCACACGCTTGTGCTTAAATCCCGGATCAATTGTTTGTTTATTGCGCAACATTTTCAACAGGATTTTGCTTTTAATGCACAAACGTCGACATTTGTGCCAAGTTTTATTGTGCTGCCAGGCGCTGTTAACTTGGCTCTAACACATCTTTGGCCCCGCCCATGCGGCATGTGGCAGGCGCCCCTCGAAGCATGCCATCCAAGTTATTTTTTTTTTTTTTTGGTTTTGTTTTATCAAAAATCGATTGCAAGCTGCATTAAATAAATGATATACGCAATTTATAACTCATTTCGCAAATGCAATGTCGATTATTTCATCTGCCGCACACAAATATCTGTGACTCTCATTTCATTTGTGTCAAATAATTGGAAAGGTCTGGTCAATTGCATTAAATGCATTTTCCCGTTGACTTCGCTATCGACAGCGGCTCATCTGACAGCTGCGGCAAATGTCGGCTCTCGGTCTATATATAAATAATATAAATGTAAAGGTATCTGCTTCCATTCAGGCAGAAATCGTCATATTTAATTGCGGACGTTGGCTGACAGGTTGGTTTGCCAGCTTGGTCGATGCAGCAGGGAACTTTTAAAGAATGTTCAAGTTTTCTTGCTTATAATTCTCAAGTGGTTAAAGCTGAGCGTAAAGCATGAGTTGGTAGCAGAGTCCGCTGTTGATAGAAGCGGAAGTTTCTTGAATTAGCTTCACAGAAACCCACTCACTCTTAATGCTTACACCCTATTGTTTTTAGTCGTTAAAAGCAACACTTTCTTAGTAATTGTCAAATTCAAATGTAGCTCGATCAGTTATAATCAAAAAGGTGAGCACTCGCTTCTATCATAAACAGATACAGATTGAGAGATACAGATGAGTTTCTTACTTTGTCGATGGGGCCTTTGCGGGGTTAGAACTCGATGTGAACAGTTTGGGTAATATCTCAGTAAACACGTCAATTTATGTATTTAGCACAATTTTATTTAATTTAGTTAAATATCCTTGCATTTGTCTGAAGCTGGCGTCAATTACTCAATCCTTCACTTGCACTCTAGGTATGCTTCAACGTACCATTGTAATGCCGGGCAATTTCCTCTAGTTTCTACCAAAACCAATATGCTTACTAATGAAATTAGTAAATTCCTGTGACTTGCTGCTAGTTGTTGATTTAAGCAAAATTGATTTGCAAGTTCCTTGCTTCATTTTTAATGAAAATCCATTTTGCACTCACAATTTCTGCTTACATTTTTGCACAAGTTCCATTAGCAAAGTTTACATTTTATTCAATTTCTGAAGAGTGAAACAAATTGCAAATTAAATGATTTGGTATCTATAAAAAAATGGCAAATATTTAGCAAACGTTATTACTATGAGCAATTTGTTGAATTTATTTTCCAATTGTAATTTCAACAGATTTCGAATATTTTTTTAATGTATGTCTGAAAACAAACAACAACAAAAGTATTTCATCAGCATTGCGAGTAAATAAAACAATATTTACTCAGTGTATGCTCGGAGATATATTTCTTTTGCGCCTAATGAAATAAATGTTCAGCTGCAAACGCATTTTCAATTTGCATCTGAAATTGTGAGGCATAAATCTGGCGGCTGTCCTCAATAAAAATAAACAATTTTTTTTTTTCACACAATTTTCAACTGGGCAACTGGGCGATATATGTTCATTCTCTGACAGCGTGGCACGAACTAAACATATCACAAAATAAAAGAAGACAAAAAATAAAACGAGACTCTCGCCACATTTCATTTGGAAAATGAGAAAGAAAAGCGTAATTTAGTTTTTGCATACAATCAAAATAAAATTGAAATAATAGAAAAAGTGTCGCAAAAAAAAAAAACGATTGGAAAAGTGCGCGCAATTGAATTATTGATAAAGCCAATTAAATTATAAGTTAATTAAGTCGTCTATTATAAAAAATTAATATAAATAAAATAAAAGGCGAAAACATGTTTGGCTGCATTTATCAGCTATGGGACTGGTAAGTTGTTAAATCCTGAAAATGTATTAAAAACAAAACTAAATGCGCGGAAAGTGCAGAATTTCGAAAAATAAGATTTCGCAGATATGTTAGGGATATTTAAGAGCTGAGATATTTTGATATTTTGACAAACAGAACAACAAACACGGAAATCATAATTTTTGGTGATAGCTTTTTTCACACGGAACTAAATTTTGTAGAGGTCCGTTATAGATATGATTTTCCCACTCGAATCCCAATTATGCCGCGTTTGGTTAAGATAAAGATATCTTGAACAACCTTAAAGTTTATCAGGACAGAACCTACTGTTCGTCGAGTTTTTTTTCTATAGCAGCTATATGATATAGCTATCCGATCAGTTCGATTCCCACACTTTCATCTCCTGCAGCAGAATGACAAAACTGAGCAATGTTTTTGATGATATTAGCTTTAAAACTGGGAGACTATAAAATACAGTTTTCTATGATTATAATGACTGTGCTGTGATGTATATATACAGATGTTGATCAGGAATATATATTTATATAGCTCACTTCCATTGTGTTGGTTTTGCTCTAAGAAAATTGTGTATTCTAATAAGGTGCACAGCATTTAATTCCAATTAATTATCTTTATGTATTAAATAAAAAAAAAAATAAAATACGCTTCATAGAGTCCACTCTCCTTCTTTTTATGTGCAACATGCACTTGCATAAAAATCAATGTACATTTTTTTTTAACCCACATTCAATGGGCTCAGTCGGAGCCGAAGCCGAGGCTGGGCTGCCTTTAGTGGGGCACAGCAACTGCACTCAATCAATTACCAGCAATTACGCGCTGAGCTCGCGTCGCACAGTTCCGGCCGCTGGCGCGGATTTGGCGCGGCTCTCTGGTTCATTTGGGGCGAAAGCCACGTTGAAGCGTCGAGCTTAAGCTGCTGTCCACGCAATTGAATTAATGCCGGCGACCTTTGCTAATTGCTGCATCACGTAATTTACAATCTGTGTCTGATCTTTACCCCTCTCTCTCTCTCTCTCTCTCTCTCTCTCTCTCTCTTTCGTTTGCAGGCTGGAGGCGCCACCGCTCTTCACGGCCGGCACCATGGACGCCAAGAAGCTGCAACAGTTGCAGGCGGCAACGGCGGCCCAGCAGCAGAAGAAACTGCCGCTGGCCTATCAAACAAATCTGATTGATTATCGCACGGCAACACATTCGCCTGCCGGCTATCATCTGGCGCCGCAGGCGCTCTATCAGCAATCCCCGACGGCCACCTCGTCCAGCGGCGGCGGCGGCCCGCTCTCGCCCATCGAGATGCAGCCGCAGTCGAAGCACGGCCTGCTCAAGCATACGCACGGTGGCAACTCGAGCAGCTCGCACAGCTCACCCTATCATCAGTCGTACTCGAGCGGCGGAGGAGGAGGCGGTGGGGAGCAGCTGTATCAGTCGCCCACGGAGCGCACATATCTGGCAGCTGCTGGACGACTGCAGGCAAGCAATGCGACCGCGGGTCAACATCCCATTTCGGCGCTGCAGGCGCAATACCAACAGCTGCAGCAGGCCAAGATGCAGGCACAGCTGGCCACGCAGAGCGAGGCGGCGCAGCAGCAGCAGCGCACATTCGCCATGCGCCAGGCCATGAATCCGCCCACGGGCCACTACCACATGAGCCAATCCTCCAGCATGGTCTCCAACCTGACCCTCCAACAGCAGCAGCAGCAGCAGCGGGCGCCACCTTCCACGCTGAATCTGGCCAATCAATATCAGGCTGCCTCGGGCCCTTTGAAGCTGCAGCAGCAGCAGCAGCAGCTGCCCAAGCACTACCAGGAGCAGCTCTATGCCCAGCAGCAGCAACAGTTGCAGCTGCAGCTGCAACAGAAACAACAGCTGCAGCAACAATTGCATCAGCAGCAGCAACAGCAACGTCACAAGCCGGAGCAGCAGACGCCTGGCAGCGAGCACGGGCCCGTCTATATACAACAGAATCATCCTGGGCATGTGGTGAATCAGGCCTGTCAGACACAAATCTCGAGCGTGACCAGGCCGAAGCCGACGCCCAGCTCAGAGGAGTCCTCATCGGCGTCGACGCGCAGTCCCACGCATGCGCCGCTCGATCGCAAGAAGAGCATCGGCTCGATGCAGGCCCTCAAGTCGCCCATTACGAAGCGTCCACCCACGACGCCCGTCACGCTCTCCGGCTGGCTGCACAAGCAGGGCTCCGATGGTCTGAAGGTGTGGCGCAAGCGTTGGTTCGTCCTGGCCGAATATTGTCTCTACTATTACAAGGGCCCGGAGGAGGAGAAGCTGCTGGGCTCGGTGCTGTTGCCGTCGTATCGCGTCGCCGCCTGCCTGCCGGAGGACAAGATCTATCGCAAGTTCGCCTTCAAGTGCGAGCATCAGAATATGCGCACCTATTGGCTGGCCGCTGACAGCGCCGACGCCATGATGCAGTGGGTCCGCGCTTTGGCAGCGGCCAGTCTGATGCAGGCGCCCAGCAGCGGCGAATCGGAGCCGAGCGTCAACTCCTCGCTGAATCACAGCGGCGAGAACTCCGACTCGGGCATACACACGCTCCAATCGCAGCCGGGCAAGGGGCAGGTCACCCCCGCCTCCGATAATCCAGGAGCGGGCGGAGGTGCTCAGCCTTTGTATGCCAATGCGCCGCCCAAGCCGCGACGCATCAACGACGGCGGCTACTCCTCGCCCTCGCCCGAGCATAACGAGCAGCAGCCATTGCCACCTAGTCGCCGCATCCACTCGCCCGGCACACAGCAGCAGCAGCAGCTCTATCAGCAAAGATCTCAGCAGCCGCAGCCGCAGGCGCAGCAGCATCATGCCATCTATGATACGCGCACGGGCCATGTGTCGACGGCGCTGCAGCTGCAGCAGGCGCAGCAGCAGTACTCGCTGGATCATCTGGAGGCTCAGTTCCAGCAGCAGCATCTGGACATGGAGGAGCAGATCGCCCGCCTGCAGCAGCAGCGCGCGGTCGAGGAGATCTACGGCGAGCGGGATCTCTACATGGCCAAGCTCATGCAGCGTCCCTATCCGACCCAGCAGCAGCATCAGCAGCAGCAGCTCCAGCTGCAGGCGGAGCGACGCACGCCGGACGCCTACGGCCGATCCAAGCAGCAGCGCATGTTTGCCGCTGCCGCCGCCGCCGCTGCTGCCGCGGACTACGAGGACATCTACAATATGTCACAGCTGGCGGGCGCCGGCGGCGGCGCACTCAGCGCCCACGAAGCTCTGCTCCAGGAGGCGGCCAGCTATAGGCGGCCCCTCAGTCCGCCCAGCTATGATGGCAGCAAGCATGTGCCCGCCATGCCTCAACGCTATACGCCCAACCACTTGGAGGTAGGTACCCCCTGAATCGCACTGCGTCCAGCTTGAGCTGGGCCAACTTTGCCCAATAGAAGCCAAAAAGTTGCACCTTGGCCAAATGTGGACCACACTCCTGGTTAGGGTCGAGGGTTTGGCCTACTTTAAAGTTTAACTCAACGCGCAGACAGGCTTTTACTTTGCCGACACTTGCGGCCAATAGAAGAGCACAATGCATTTAACAGCAAGTTCTTTGTTGAATAGAAATTGTCAGATTTCACTTTCTCTTTAACTAGGACCTAGGCGGCAAATCGTTTTCATATCGAACCTAGCTCGGAACTCCAAATTCATTTCTTACAATTAGAACCTCTCAATTTTATTTCCTTTAACAAGTAATTGTGTGTCAGTTGGGTGTGCCCGACTTGAGCCGATTCGAGTATCTCAGAATAGGCAGGAGATATTTAAAAAGTGAAATATTCCTTCCATCTGTATTCTATCCAAGACCCTACATACCAAAGTGTCTCTAGCTCTTATAATCTTCGAGTTATGCTTCAAAACCCAAGTCTCAAAATCGATATTTATCGATCTTATGAAAATGGGAGGAGATATCGAAATCGATATCGTAAAAATAACATTTTTTAAGCAAAGTGGAATCAGACTATAATTCAACGCTGCACTCTAAGCAGAGTATGTCGCAGTCGATAACAGCCGAGTTACTTAGTTTTCATTTCCCAGCGATTAATTTTTTTCATCATTTTAAATGCCACGTCACATCTTAAATTCTTCTTTAACCTGGTTAGCATCTTGCATTTGGCTTCCGTATATCTATTTTATTACCCGTCCTCCCTTGGCTATCATCAATTCCACCTTATGTTAAATGGAAAAAGTTTTTGACTTGCGATAACTTTCGACAAAATGATTGATAGACAGCGTAAAGCATTTGACACACACACACACACACACGATTTAATCGATTGCATTAGCGATTTCTAGAGATGAAAATAATTTTTTTGTAGGTTGGCTTACCTAACATGTTGTTAAGTTAGGTTAGGTTTGCTAAAGTTGGGTTAACTTCGATTTGAGGTTAGATTAGGCTCGGATTGTTGTCTTACATAGACTTTTATTCAGACAGATCTTAAGGAAGCAGAGATAAATCCAGCAAACATTTGGAAAGAATTAATACTTTCTCCTCATTGTCTTTGTTAAGTTTGCTAAAGTTGGGTTAAGGTCGATTAGTTTGAGGTTAGGTTACGTTAGACTCGGATTGCTGTCTTACATAGACTCTCTCTCTTAAGGAAGCAGAGATTAACTCAGCATAGAAATACTCTAGAAAACACTGCGCTTAAAAAGTTTTTACCGCACCTTATGTAGACTAACATGTATCAAGTGTGTTGGCGGAAACTAATTAAGGTTTGTCAAATAATTTCCACCACTTGAATCTTTACGAAAAGCAAAAACTTCTATGAAAACTTGCATATATGAGTAGTGAATACTTTCAGTAGTTGCGTTCCGTCTTGTTTGAACTTCTGATGGAATTAAAAATTATAATTTGCTTTATAAATTTATGAGATTTGACAAACAAGGTAAAGTTGCTCGCGTGCAGCTTGTTGGCTTATAGAATACGCTGTAAAAGGGTCTCGAAAGATAAATGTTTGTGATGAACAGGGGCGGGTATTTTCAGGCCTAAGATATTATCAAAAGTACTTTCAACGAACTCAGGAACTATGAGAGTTAGAGAAATAAAACAGTTAAGCCAAAAAAACAAAAATAACTAGAACTCTATGTAGGAATTATATTATTATCTCGGGGCCTAAAACAGTTAGAGATATGGGATTTGGTATCTGCAGTTAACTTTCATCGAATATGAATCATAACTAACTTCACGCCTTAGTTGAACCAAGAAACGAGTTACAACTATGTGTAGAAACAATAGTATTATCTCGAGGACTATAGGAGTTACAGTTATGAAACTTGGAATGTGGGTTCTGTCATAACAAATGCAGCTAATTTTCATTAAATATGAATCATAACTAGCTTCGCGCCTCAGTTAAATGGAGAAACTGAATTACAAATGCATGTAGAAATATTATTTTATGGCTTCTTTTTTGCGAGAACATAAGGACTCCGGCTGTGCCTTGAGTTGAGGGGCAGCGCCTGCAGCTTGTCTGAACTCAGTTGCAGTTCCCAAAGAGTTGGTGGTAAGTGCGCGAAGCCCGTTTTGGCGCGCCCACTAATTAGAGCTTAGTATGTCAGTGGGTAGCTAAATTGCAGACGTTTTGTGCGGCAATTGCCACAGCTGCCACACGTTGCACGCCCAAAGTGCAACTTTATGGGCTGCTCGCCCTTTTGGACGCGGCTGCAGCTGCTTTTGTGGGTCAGCCAGGAAACGAGTCGCGTGCATGATTTATGCCAGAGGCTCTCGTTTCGCATGCAAAATCCACTTTATATACGAAACCAAACTAACTGCCATTTGAACTCCCTCTCTCCTCCTCATCCCTTCGCAGCCCGCGGCCGCCGATCAGCTAATCAATAACATGGACTTGCGTGCACGGTCCGCGGCGGCGATTGTGCGTCCGCATTCTGCCGACTTTCTGGAGTACGAGGCGCGTGCCGAGGCAGCGGCCGCTGCCGCCGCCGCAGCCGTGGCGCACAGCAAACAGGAGGCGGGCGGACGTGCACCGCGACCCAAATCCAGTTTGGACATTAATCGCACGCCGGACAGTTTCTACTACTCGGAGGCGAGTTATGCGGAGAAGATGCGCAAGAGCGCGTTGTATCTGCAGAGCGGAGGCGCACAGCCGCAGCAGGCGGGCAGCTATCGCATTGCTGAATTTGGCAGCGGCATGCACACGATTGGCTATGAGAATCCCTATGAGCGCGCCCATCAGCGCCAGGAGCTGCTCGCCGAGGCGCAGGCGGCGCAGGGCAGCGCCGCGTGCAGCATGCCGCGGATGAGTCGCTCGGCCAGCCAGGGAGCCGGCGGCGGTGCCGCGGCACGTTCCGTCTCCTCGCATGCACAGCAACAACAGCAGGATGTGGACTTGCCGCCACTTAATGTGCATCCGGGCTCCATATTCCCGCCCTCGATGTCCACGCAGGAGATCATCAGCAAGAACGAGCAGTTCCTGCGCTCGGCCAGCGCCCGGCTGCCCAAGCGCAACGGCGGCCTGGACGACGATTATTCGACGGCCAACAATTCGCTGGCCACATCGCCGACGGCGGGCGCCGGGCCATCGCCGCCAAATCCGCTTGATGGCGAACGCAAGCGCGAGGAGTCCATGAAGCGTCTGCTCGAATGGAAACAGCGCATGCTGCAGTCTCCGTTGACGCGCAAAGGCGTCCAGCAGGGCGCCAACAATATGTCGGCCATGTCCAAGCTGGGCAGCAATCCGAACATCCTGCTCGCCTCCACGGCCGTGGCCAGCGGTGCACGCTATGCCCCGCATGCGGGCAAAACCGGGCTAGTCGGCAATTCTGGAGCAGCCACAAATTCCAATCCTGCCGCAGCCGGCGGCGGCGCCTCAGCGGGCATTCAGCGCTCCAGATCGGAAACGCATGCGAATATGGGTCCCGGCGGTGTCTACAACAGCTACTCCTCGGATGATGAGGGTGAGTACAAGATTTGCTTTTCCTTTTTATTATGCACAATTTTACCCGCCCCCCATTTTTTGCTTTGCTTTAAGTCTATCTATACTCTGAATCTATCTCTGTCTCGCGCTCTCTCTCGCCCTCTCTCTCTGTATCTCTCTTTCTCTTGTTGCAAGTTTGCCTTTGTTCTGGCGTAGTTTCTACTTTTACTTTTGTTAGCTCTTTGGCTTTGCTCTCCTGTTGCAATTGAAGTGCCTTCCAGCTACCTTTTAGCTACACTCAAAAAAATTAGGTGCATACAATAATTTTAATAAAATTAGTACAATTTTTATAAATAAATTCAATTGCATACAAATTTAAAATAAAACGCTTGCAAATATTCCAAAAAAGTTTGTTCAAAATTCTTTAAAAAAAATATATATATATATATGTATATACAATTATATTGCATACAAAAATTACATTTATTTTTTTATCTCACAAAAAAGTATGCGCAAAAAAAATGTAAATATTAGAAACTTCTTCAATTATTCTAAAGTGATCCAAACGGAGTACATTTTTTTGATCTTTTCTTAAAAAACTAAGCATCGGCACGAGGAGCACTAAGTTTAGGGTTTAGGATTATTTTGTTAATTTTTGCTTTTCTTTACCCCTTTACTCGATATCTTTCGCCATTTAAATGGAATACTGGAAATTGTATGGTTCTTTTCTTTGAGTGTAGCTTCTGCAGCTGCCTTTGGCCTAAGCTGGTCGTGCTTATAGCTTTGTTTTGTATTTCCCCATACACCTGCTGCCCCCCCTCGCTCAGTGCTCTCTCGTAGCGCCTGCAGCCTTGTAAATATCTATGATTAAGCTGGCAACTGCTTTGTAGAGTAGTTTTGAGCTTTGTAACTTTAATAGTTATGCTATGCTATCTAGAAACTAAGTAGCTGCTGTTCTAGGTTTAAGCGTAACACTTTAAGCTATATGCGAACTCTTAACAACTCATCCCCCTAACAAATGCATGCCAATTAAAATCGATGCCAAACTAAACAAACAATACTGTAGTGTATTTATTTTTTAATTTTGTTGGCTGCATTTTTTTATGTTTTAATTAATTTGTGTTATGCAAAGGCAACCGAAAAACAAAGGGCAAAATGTGTAAACAATTGAAAAATAATTAAAACAAAATACCTTCCTGCCACACACACACACACACATATTTATTTATGGCCAATTAATTGAAACAAATATTGAATAAATCTGTTCCCTGAGCCCAAGCTTAAAAGCAGGCAACCTTTTTTTTTTTTTTGTTAAATTAATCAAAACGCCGCCGAGTTCTTTTTTGGCATTCTCTTTAGTTTGTTTAAACTTTCAATGTTGTTGTCAGACTGCAGTTGATTTCCTTGAGTAGTTTGGTTTTTTTTTTAAAACATTTTCATCAATCATGGCAATCATGGGTGCTTGGTGTTTCGTCTACTAAAAAGCCGCTGTAAATTTCGCACTAAAACCCAACTCAAAATAAAATAAATAAAAAACTCAAATCATGGGCTCAAAACTGAAACACAAAAAAAAAAACAAAAAATATTAAAAAAAAAATTTTATTTTATATAACTTTCTTTTCCATTTTTGTGGTTATTGAAAATTTGTTGTAAATGTTGTAAATGCTTGAACAAAAAAAAAACAAAGATAAAGAAAACGCACAAAGCGCAGCTGGGCCGGGGCTGGATGATAACATAAGTGTGACGGCAGGAAGGTCGACAGCAACAACAACAACAACAACAACAACTAGCACACAAAACACAACAACAACAACAACAACAACGACAGCTGCAACAATGACAACAATAACAATAGCACAGACAACAGCAACAACAACAACAATTAGTCTTAGCTCAAATTTAACAACAGCAGCAGCAGGAGGAGGAGGGAATGTGGGCAGCCCGAGCTTCCAGCTGAAGCCCATCTTGAAGGTGCACGAGGCCAGCCGCACGCCCATTATTCAGGTGCAGCCCAGCGTGGGGCAGCAGCCGCCTCTGCGACCCAAGCTGAAACTGCAGCTGCAGCCGGTGCCCATTTTGCCTAAAAAGCAGGCACCGAAATCCCCGCAGAATGTGAACTATGTGCCCGTGTACAGCAACAAGCTGGCCATAAACGATGCCGAGGAGACGCCCATGTTGATGCAACTGAAGCTGTACAAGGAGCAGCAAGAGCAGCAGCAGCAGCAGCAACAGTCGGAGGAGGACCTGACGCCCACAGCGGAGGCAAAGCCAGCACCAGGTGAGGCGACAGCACCTGAACAGGAGAAGGAGGAGGAACAGGAGCAGAAGGAGGAACAGGAGCAGGAGGAGGAACAGGAGCAGGAAGAGGAGGAGGATGAGAGCACCGCCTGCGAGGAGTACACAGACGATGACATAGATGAGGCGCTAGCACAGGACGACGACGACGACAACGAGGAGGAGGCGGATGTGAAGGAAACGCCTCTTCCTGCGCCTGTAGAAGTCAATTTGTATGAAAATAAAACCGTGTCGGTGACAGATCAGGCAATGGACGAGAGTCATTATCTGCCCATGACGCCCAAGAAGGTGGAGCTGGGCCAGCCGGGCACGCTCAGTCTGGTCGCCATGCACGCCGAGGAGGAGGAGGCAGCTACGCAGCAGCAGAAGGAGGAGGAGGAGAATCATTACGTTGAGATGACCAAGAATCTTCACGACGACGACAACAGAAGCAACTACGAGATCATGTGCATAGCCAGCCAGGTGACGAGCACGAGCCAGAGCAGCAGCAGAGTCCACACGGAACCCGTCTACATGGAGCTGGCTGGCGCAGTCGCAGCCGCTGCAACCGCTGGCGAGGAGGCGCACTGCTCCTCGGGCCGTTCCACGCTGAAGAAGAAGAGCAAAAAGTGTACGAAAAAACGCGCGGGCAAAGACATGCCGGACATACTGAAGCCCACGAAGAGCAGCCTGGCGGCCAGCGACAGCTCCGATGCGGACGACGAGAGCAGCAAACAGCAGCTGGAGGCGAAGAGATTGCGCTCCCGCACACGTTTCAGCTTGTCAGACACGTTCCGGCCGGCGTCGTATTATCTGGGCGCCTCGACGCCGCTGAACAACTATGCGGAGAGCTCAGACAGCGAGATATTGCCGCCGCCGCCCATACCCGACTCGCCGCCGCCCATGGAACAGCTAAAAACGGAGGAAATCTTCTCCTCGGAGCACTACGATACGGTGCGCCGGCGCGACAGATCCTATGAGCAGCTGCCCAAGATGCATGCCAGCAACAGCTCGCTGAATTTGCCCAAAACCGAGCCGAGCACCGCGCTCAAGAGCAGCCGCCTCTCGCTGCCGGATCACTTTGCCAAGGTGCGCGGCACACCTGAACAGTTGCAGCAGCAGCAGCGTCGGGCTACGGCTCTGGTGCTGCTCCAGCAGCAACAGCAGCACGCGCGCACCCTCTCCGACTCCAACTACAGCTGGCCAACGGAAAAAAGCTGCTCCTCACGCACCTCCTCCGACCTGGAGCTCTATCGCAAGCTCCAGGTGCAGCCGAGCAGCGACTCGAGCGAATCGGTGGAGTTTCGCCAGCGCTCCGATTCGGAGCTGGAGCGTCAGCGTTCGCGTCGTCCGCTCTCGCAGGAGTCTATTAGCGAAATCGAGTCGATGAGCGAACACTTCGAGGAGACGCTCAGCAGCCATGAGCTGGACACGTATCTCAGTCATTTGCAGGGCAGCGATCTGTTGCCCAGCCGTGCAGCTGGCGCCGATCTACTGATCAAGCCGCCAAAGATCTTTCGCAATGCCGAGGGCGATGAGCAGCATTTCTATGGCAACATACACTTTCTATCCTCCACGGACTCCATACAGCAGCTGGTCAGCAGCAGCAGCGGCGTCGTCCCCGGCGCCTGCCTCACCCCGCTGCACAGTCGCAACAATAGCAATATATCGACGCAATCGGCGCCGTATTATTACTCGGAGCTGCCAGCACCGGCGGCGGCGGCGCAGCTGAACAATCAACGGGAGATACACGCACCTGGGCTGAATATAGCGCACATACATAATCCCATCGACAGGCGGCAGTTTGTGGATGTCGTCGATGCGCTGGTCGACAAGGATCAGGCGATCGATAGCAAGAATCTGTACAGCATGAAGGCGAACGTGGAGAAGCTCAGCTACAGCTGCAACAAGAATCTGAAGGCGGGCCAACAGCTCAAGCTGAACAACAACAACATGCAGCTGGTGGAGCAAGTGTCTCCAGATGGTCATGGTTCATTAAACCCAACTCATTCACATTTTACAAATACTAAAAACACAAATGTCGCTCCTAAACTGACTGGTGGTAGCCTGTATGAGGCCGAGTCCGAGGCGGAGGCGGATTCGGAGTCGGTTCTGGTTGTGGGCGTAGCTGAGCTTGAGCTGGAGCTGGAGCTAGAGCTAGAGAAGAGCAGCACCACGAATAACGCGAATCAACTCTCAGTTCTAGGTGGCGAGCTGCTCTGGGAGGAGGATGCACTGTGGCGCGAGAGCCTGCGTCGCGTCTCGCAGCGACACGCTCGTTCTCTGGACGATCTGGATCGCATTGCGGCAGCCGCGCCCATACCGACGCCAGCGCCCATGACCACGCCCAGCTGTCAGGCGCACAAAACAAAGCTCAGCCGCGAAGTGACCTACGTGAACGATAACCACAAGCCGCCGGCGCACCGTCTGCTGCAGGCAGCAACGCTCCATCCGGCCGATGAGCACGATGTCTATGTGCAGCTGCTGGCGCAGGGCTCGTCGACTGATGCGGATCTGTACGAGGTGCTGCGCGAGGAGACGGGCTCCAATTTATCGCACAAGTCCAACGAGCTGGATCGCGAGACCATACGCCAATGGGACGCCATGTCCAGCGGCCTGCTCAAGAGCAGCAATAATCCCGAGACCATGCCGACCAGAACAGCGCCAACCTCCAGTGGGCCAATGCTGCCGCTGACCAGCAATGTGCGCTCCATAATCCAGCAGCTAAATGGAGGCAGTGAAGCCAGCAACGATGCCAATGGGAATGCCATTGTGAATGCGGCTGCACAGAAGCACAATTGAGAATATTACGCATACGCAACGTGCGACACTTAGAATTAAATGATATGAGGCAATTATTGGCCAGGTTAGAGGCATAAGCCAGAGAGAGGCACAGAGATAGATACATATAGAGAGAGTAAGAGTTACTGAGAGAGGAAGAGAAGGAGAGAGAGAGCGAGAGAGAGAGAGAAAGAAAGAACGAGAGAAAGCGGAAGCTGGCAGTTAAAAGTCTTAAAAGCCGCAAAAGAGGCCTTTTTGTTTATTTATTTTCAATGGTTTTTTCATAGTTTGTTGCTTGTTTTTGTTTTACACTATTTTTTTCATTGTTATTTGTTATTGTTGTTGTCATAATTGTTGTGTTGTTTTGTTACATTAACAAAATGGTAAGCAATATTCTTTATAAACATTTATATATATATATATATATATGAACCAAAAGACACTTGAATCCCACATCTATGTAATTATTAATGCGCTTGTAAATATTCACAATCACACACATATTCATTCCTTATCACACACAAACACACACACACACTCGCATATGTACACACGCTGTATAGTCGAAACATGAACAAAAAACTGTAGCATACTTTTGCGCGCAGCCAAAAATTTTCAGCGAAAAGCTGCCCGTTGAACAGCTCCTGTAGACGCCTTCACTTTCTGACAACTAATACAATTAAGAAGAAGGAAAGAAAACAATAAAATGTATTTAGCTGAGCCGCTGTTTAACCCTGATTTAATGCTTTTCTCTAATTATTTCGCGCACGCATTATAATTACAAGTCCGCCTGCCAAGTCCTGCTCCAAATGCAATTAAATAATTGTCCAACTCATTTTACAGCCTCGATATCGGTGCGCAATGTCAACAACTTGCCCAAGGTCAATCTGACGGTCAAGCCAGAACCCTCGGATGCACTGCAGCAGCAGCAGCAGGACTCGGCATTCGCCCACTATGATCCCTACTATGGCAACGGAACGGAAACCAAATATGCCAAGGCCACACAGCTGACAGATCGCGCTCCATACGGACGCACAGTGGGCATGGCCACATCGACGCCACAACAACAACAGCAACAACAATTGCCGTTTGCCATGCGACGTGCCGGCAGTCGAGCTGAAATTGATATGCTCGAGCGTGAGACGAGCTCACAGATAAGGGTAAGTGTGGGCGGTCAGGGGGCATGTGATTGGGGGCTGCGGTTGACGAGGCATAAATGCAGGAGGCAATGTCCATAAATGAGAGTGTGTTTCTTTTTTTAAAAATCCCCAATTGACAGCTCAAGCCATGCGAGCGTGGAAGTTTAATTTATCACAGACATTAAAAGAAGAGTTATTTTTTGGGTCATTCCAGAGACAAGCGTGAAAAATGGGCGGTCAACTTTATAATGTCATTGTTATTTTTGCTTAAAGTTTTATTCGATTGTTTTTCAACTCGTTTTTAAGGTGGTTTTTTTCAATCAGCAAATCTGCCAGCGTTTGTATACGGAATATGGGTGAAACCCCGATTTTGTTGTGCTCATTTTTATTAATTTTTCATTTATATAACTTAAGCGATGAGCCCGCAGAATGGGAAATTCCAACCCTAGATGAGTCTGTGTTCTGGGCAAGTTTCGACTACATTTCACTTTTCACTCAAGGGACAATAAGAAAATCTATTTGATCTATCCACTCACATGGGTGGAAAACAAGTGGAAATCTAGAAAAGTGACTATAGGCTAGTGTGTTATAAGCTTAAATATATCTTGATTGATTTAAATATTAACCCTCTGCACTCAGCAAACATTAAGACAATCAATTTTATCGGTGACCCAAAATCCACTCGCATGCGTGGAAAACAAGTGAAAATCTAATAGATTGACTTTTATCTGGACACAGTCGGGCTAATGTGTTATAGGCTTACATATATATTGATTGATTGATTGATTTAAATACTAAACAAGAAGACAATTCATTTTATCAGTGACCAAAAATCCACTCGCATGGGTGGAAAACAAGTGAAAATCTAGATAAGTGACTATAGGCTAGTGTGTTATAGGCTTAAATATATCTTGATTGATTGATTGATTTAAATACAGAACCTGGATGTTTCGGCTGGCGATTTATTGAGTCGCACTCACGAGGAGCTGGTCCTGTTGCTAATCCAATTGCGCCGCCAGAGCAGCCAAACGGCACGGGCCATCGAGCAATGCTGCAGCGATATACACAATGTGCAGGTGGTTAACTATTTGTGAGCTCTACAAAATTGGGTGCTGGTTGTGGTGTTGGTTTCTGTGACTAAAAATCGATCTGTCTAACCGAAAAATGCTATCAATTCAAACTTTAACTCATGCAATGCAATTTAAATTTTATGCAGAATCGACTACGCGGCGCCGAGGGCCTCACCCGGGCGGAGAGCATTCAGCGCTTGGATTATCTGAAGCAGCATTTGCTGGACCTGGAGCGCCAGTATGAGAAGAGCAAGCCGCTGGTCAATCTGGTGGACAACATGGTGAAGCTGGGCTCGCTCTATCGCAACGATGCCAATGGCCGAGCCCAGCCGGCGACCCTGGATCGCCTCGAGTTCAATCAGCGCATGCAGGAGCGCCAAATGCTGCAGGAGGAGCAGAAGCAATGGGAACGCCTCAGTCCCAATCAGGCCGAGTTGCAGGTAACATATATCCTCAGCCGGATATCACAGCTCACAGTTAATTCTCATATACATTCGCTTTCAGGCCAAGGTGCGTGAGCTCTATCAGCTGGATCAGCTGCTGCAGGAGGAGTCGGGCATCTTGCAGAGCCTGCAGCGTGACAAGGAGGATTTGGAGCGTGCTTTGGGTGGTCTACGTGCGCGCATACATGACAACAATGCCACGCCTATGGCTTTGGAGGCGGCCAAGAAGCAACAGCACATACTGGAACGGGAGCTGTCCCGCGTGCATCAGCTGCTGGCCGAGAACTCAAAGGTAGCCCAGGTGCCTAGTAGAAGTTTTTTGCATTATATGTGTCAGATATTCATATACTATATATAAATATCTAGTCTTTGTCTGCTTGAGCTTCGCATGTCGCTTATGTAACTAATGAGAAAAATCACAAAAAAAAAAAACAATAATATTTAACTAACTGCTTTGTTTCGATATGCAAATCGATTCCCCTCAAGAGTTCAGCGATCATTTTACGGAAATCCTTATAAATCCGAAAAGCTCAAAAATATTTGAATAGATTTGGTGACTTAAATCCAATTCCAACATTTAGAAATTATTTGTCGAAACCAAAAAACAAAAAGGTTTATAAAAATATGGTTTGGCTTAGAACTTATTCAAGGTTCGTTTGAATGCGTTTCATTGTAGAACATAAAAATTCATTCATTCTGGCTCAAACTGAATTTCAGCCTTGATTTGGCTCTATGAAAAAATCAAAACTTAAGGTTCGTTCTAGGTAAAAAAGTTATATAGGATTCTGATTCGAACCGGTTCAGATCAGCTTTCGCTCAGTTTTAAGTAAAAAATAATAAACTTTTGGGTTCAAATAATATCATTCATGGTAAAGAAATTGGAGTCTCTAGTTTAAACCGGTTCAGTTTGAGAAGTCTAAATTTCGGAGTCAAACAATTGTATTTTATAGAAAAAACCAAACAATTCTGGTCCGAACCGGCGCTGTTTAGCCTTCTTTCGGTTCATAGGTTCAATATGTTTATTTCTGATTCGAATCGTTGGGATTTAGCTTTACTTCGGTTTTAATGTATAGCTAAAAGTAGAAATTTCCTATTCGGCTCATAGTTGAAAACATAAAAATTTATAGTAAAACCAAGAGTTTCTATTTGAAGAGTTTCCGGTTCGACTCGGTGGGTTTGAGCCTTGGTTCGGCTTATCTTAAATTAATTTTTAGCTAAAAGCAGGAGTTTCTGGTTCGGTTCAAAATTGAATTGCGGGCTTGAAGCGATATAGTTCATGGTAAAACGAACAGTTTCTAGTTGTAGTACCAGAGCTTAGATGAAGTTCAACCCAGTTCTTGTTTTAGTATTAAATGCAAAAGACTTCTACATGATGCCTCTCAATTGTATTTGCTGCGATTGCTGCATGTGCCATAGTCTCATCCTTGGAACTGCAAACTAAACCCTTGTCTTGTGATTCCACAGAAACTGGAGCAGACCGTGGCGGGCAATGCGCGTCTGGAGCAGGAGCTGCTCACGCTGCGGCAGAAGGTGCAGGCGACGCGTTCGAATGGCGCAGGCAACGATCCTAACCAGCTGAACGGCAACCAGACGGCGGCGGTGCTGCAGTCGGAGCTGGAGCGTGTCCAATCTCTGGTCGGGGACATGCAGCGGCAGCGGCACGAACTGAGCTCTGCGGTGCGCCAGCTGACGGAGAACTCGACGCGCCTGTACCAGGAAATTGGCAACAAGGAGCTGAGCCCGCCGAATGGCTCCAACGGCAGCTTGAAGAAGCGCAGCAACTCAACGAGCTGGACCGAAACCGATCTGGATGCCAATATGCATATGCACAATGGCAGTCAGCAGCATCTAAATGATTCGACACTGAATCTGTCTACGCCCCTCTACGTGGACACCAACACGAACAGCTCCGGCAAGCTGGCCGACTACAGTCGCTACAATGGTAGCAGCGATGCCCTCGAGCTGAGCGGCGTCGATAGCGATGGTTTTCTGGACAGCAATCCCTTTGCCAATCTGAGCAATCTCGAGAAGCAGGAGATCAAAACGGTGCGCATTGTTAAACGCGAATCGGAGCGCCGACATCGCGATCGCAGCGAACGCGGTCTTAGCAATTCTATACAGAATCTCGATCAGGTGCTCGAGGAGGAGCACTACGCTCAGCAGTTGCAGCAGCACCAGCAGCAGCAGCAACAGCTGCTCGAGGAGCAAATGGGCAATGGGCATCATAGCCGCTCCAAGTCGCTGCCACGCAACTACAGTGAACCGCCAAAGCCCAGGCACAGCCGTCATTTGAATGGCAAACAGAATGGACACCATTTTAATGGTGGCTCCGACTACGATCGGAACAGCAACTATGAGCATCAAGCGCCGCCGCCGCCAGCTCCTCAGAGCAATGGCCATCATCATCATCATCAGCAGCGGGAGCAGCAGCAACGGGAGCATCTGAATCCTTTGGCCAATGCCTACTTTGCCAAGCAGCTGCAGCAGCAAACGCATCCGGGCAGGGACAGCGCGAGGGTGGCTCTGCGCACCAAGACCGACTCGCTGCAGAGCCTCAACAAGAGCCTGACGGACATCAGTCCGGAGCCGGTCTTCCAGAGCGTCGCCGCGCGTCAGATCATCAACGAAATGTCCGCCGGCTCGGCTTCGGAGGATACCGAAAAGATTGTCGAGCGCGTGCCGCCGCCGCACAAACATCGACGCGCCGTGCCGCGCGAGAAGCGGAGGCATTACACGGCGCCCAACAATGTCAACCAGAAAGCCATGGAGAAGGTGCAGGCCGAGAACGACATGAATCGCAATGTAAGCCTCAATAGACTCTCTAGATTGTCCAGCTTAATCATATTTATTTGTTCCCCCACAGAACACCAACTGGCGAGCACGCGATGATCTGGACATGGAGGTGGCGCTGCGTCCGCGCATCAATGCGCCCGATGTGGTGCGCTCCGCGCTGGGCCAGGGCGAGAAGATCTCCGAGAATACCATTGACAATTTGCTATTGGCGCCCAACAAGATAGTCATACCCGAGCGTTACATACCAGAGACAGTGAGTACTAATTGATTGATCCAATTGATTGATCTCATTGATTGATCTAAACCAACAGACGCCCGAACTGTCGCCGGAGGAGAAGAAGCGTCGCCAGGAGAAGGTTGAATCCATCAAAAAAATGCTCGCCGAAGCGCCCATAAGCAGCAATGTAAGTAATCTCTATAAATATAAATATATCTATTGTTGATTGACTGACTGACTGACTGACTGACTGACTGATTGATAGATGATCAACGCACAGCTCAAGCCGGACCTGGCAAACCTGGCAAAGCCGGGCAGCACTTATAATATTATATACAAATATAGTATTTATAACATTTATCTGAACTCAATCTTTTGCTATCTATTTTCCCTCCAGGAGAACGAGACGCTGCCTGCCAGCAAGATCAACGCGGAGAAGAAGCAGCGCGAGCATTTACTGCAGCTAAATCAAATATTGGCCCAGCAAGTCATGCAAGTCAGCAAAATTGTTGCCGGTACGTAGATTCAAGAAGCATTCACAAAACAATTATTTAAGAACATTAAAGTTAAGTTCGATTCGATGTCCGAAGCAATTCAATTATAATATATATTCCGATGCCTGCCAGTTGAGTTTACGTTCCATGTTTATGTTATTTACTAATAAATAATGCTCTCCAAATTGTTCTTTTTCGTTTTCTGTTTTTTCATCACATCACACTCCCACACATATATATGTATTTCTATATGTATCTTAAGCGTTTATTCAGTGTATTCATCTATAAACCACAGCATTGATCCATTCAAAACTGTCTCTATGCTCTTCTAATCTAAATATATATATTCTCTCTCAATTCTTTCTAATTTTCTAGACGATTAATGAATACATATCATATGCATATGCATCTATAAAGTGTTACGCCTCTTATTCCATATCGAATCCAATATCATTCTCATCTCATTGCGAGCTCATCAGAAAAGGCGTACGAAATTCATATATTTCCACTGACAAACCCTTAAACACACTTCAGATACTCTTCCACAGTCAATACCATACTCCCACACATAGAACATGCCCCACATAAACCAATCATGCATTTAGCTATTGGGTGCATATATAATTATATGTACCTATAGGTATATATCATAACAAGTCTCAAATTCTATGAATTCTCATCATTCGTCGTGTTTTACAATTCATGTTAAATGTTTTACAGTTCATGTTAAAAATAATTCATAAATTTAAAAGGTTTTAGATCATAAAGTTTCAAATTCTATGAGTACTCATCGAAAATGCGCATAATTCGAGTTTTACAACTCATGTTAAATGTTTTACAGTTCATGTTAAAAATAATTCAAACATTTCAAAGTTTTTAGTTATATAACATAAAAAGTTTGAAATTCTATGAGTTCTCATCGAAAAATGCGCATAATTCGTGTTTAACAATTCATGTTAAATGTTTTACAGTTCATGTTAAAAATAATTTAAAAATTTAAGAGCTGTTTTTTTCTTTCTGTACAGCATAGCTTAAATATACTTTGTGTTTGTATATTTCTTATATTATTATGCATATTTTATAAATTTGATTTATTTTTTATTTATTTATTTTTATTTTTTCTTGCATACTTTTAGGCAATCCCACTAGTCACAACTAACTCAATTCTAGCTTGTCGTGTTGTTTATGTTTTTGTTTTTGTTTCTATTTAATTGTTCACACTTTTTTTTGTTATTTGTTTGAGTTGTTAAATGGGCCACGAACTGTTGTCCAGGTTCAAATGTGTGTCTTTTGTAAACCAAGTTACATATGCATAAACAACAACAACAACAACAACAACAATAACAACAACTACATACATACAACAAATACAACAAAATAAAAAGAAAAATACAGCACAGCAAGAACTCACGCGACGTTGAGATTATCGCATGCTAAGCTCACAAAAAAACAAAAAACAAAAACAAATCAGTTCAAGCAATCACAAAATACTAAACGACAACAACAACAACAACAACAATGCAATTGCAACAACAACAACAAGTACCAACAACAACAACAAAAAGCACAAATGTTAAACAACAATTAAACAAATGCGTAAGTCAAGGTTTGTACACATTTTGTTTTTATAATACCCAAACATATATAATATATGCATATATATATATATCTGCATAGTTTGCCGACTTTCTCTGAATTTCAAATTAAAATTTGCTTAGTTTATTAGCTTGGAATTGGCCTAACTAATCAGCACGCACGCGCTTGTAATATTCTCATCAAATAATATAACAAAATAAAAACACCTCCACACACACACACACACACAACAGCATTTAAATAGAGTTTTTAGCTATACACAACAAATATGGCACTTTAATAAATCTATCAAAATAAAACACAGCACAGTGCAAATCAATTGGAAACAGAATGAAGAAAATATTGAAAATTATGTTGAAAAAGAATTGAAACGATTTCAAAGATTTACTTTTGCATAGAGAAGTGCAAAGAAGCCGAAGATGAAATACCCTTGGAATGAATACATAAATATATAAAATGTCAAATAATAACTTGATTTCCGATCGATTATTCCTTTTGGATATCTTTGGGTATAGATAACAGGCGTTAATTAGATCTTTCCTTTTCATGATCTAATGATCAGGTGTTGATTAGAATCTTCCCATAAGATATAATTATCAGGTTAATTAGATGAGTTCAAAATATGACGTCTATGTCAAGTTCTCTATGCATTTTCTCTTCACAGTAGTTCGAATCTCTAGCTTTTTGCTCAGCCTGACGATGCTTCTGTATAAATTGAATTTTTCTAGGCTTTATTGTTTAGTTAAGAAGTCATTCAGGACAAACTCTTTGATATTTATAGAGGCAATAAATATCAATAAATTAGAATCAGTTAAAATAAATCAATAGAGTAAAGCAAATTCGGCTAAGCTTAGTTGTCTTCGGTTCAGGCTCTTTATCAAAATTAATGCACTTGCAAAAACTGTGTAAAATGTTAAAAAATATAAATAAAATACCAGCTAAAACAGTCCAACAAAGCTCAAGAGACGAGTAAGTATAAGCTCAACAGGCACAACAACAACAACAAGAACACACAAAAACCAAACTATACAAGCATATATATCTATATATCTACATGTATATATAATGTATATGAACTCCTTTTGTACGGTTTTCAGTATAAAGACAATTTTAAGTCCAACTTTTACAGCACGCTTGGGATGGTTTTTGGGCTCGACTTTAACTCGAATTGCATTTTCCCTATATAAATATTTATTCTCCTTCTGTTAACCCACAGAGAAAGCCATGTCGAAGACGGCCAAGGGTCAATCGGGCCAGGACAGCGACGAGGAGCGACGCTCGGAGTCGCCAAGCGAACCACTGCCGTTATTTCAACAGCGCGACAATTTTTACAGCTAAGCGCCAAAGGCCAACAACTAACCCAACTACCCGACCGGAAAGGGCGCGGATTCGTTAGAGTATAAATATAATAAATAAGCACAATAACAGCTGCATTTATCTTCGAAACTTCAAAACAAATACAAAATCAAACTAGAAACTTTGCTAACAAAAAAAAAAAAAAAACAACAACAACAACCAAAATTTTAATGAAAATCTAAAATCGAAATTGTATCAATTGTTAATTGACTGAAGTATAACAACAAATTTTAAAAAATATCAAAAACAAAGAAGAAGAAGAAGAATACATAAATTAACGAATTTTTAGGCAAGCAAAATGCAACAAGAACAAGAAGGTACGACTTATTTCGGCACGCCGAACATCAAATACCCTTGTAGGCAAGTTCAGATTGTGAAAAATCCGTATAATATTCAAATCCAAATGCGGCATAAGCTATAAGTTATAGTAGTTCGATTTGAAACGAGTTATATTGAAAATAAAAAAAAAAGCATTTTTTACGCACAAAATCTCAGTTTTCGATTGATTCTTCCCATAGAGCTATAGTAGCCCGATCTTAGTTCGATTTCAACTAATAAGAGAAATAATTTTGAAAACTCAAGAACTTAAATTGCGACCTTTTGTTCCTGCTAGCTGGCAGCTATATGATATAATACTTCGATCCGTTTGATTCCGGCACATGCAAAGTTTCATGAAGCCAACTTTTAGACAAAAGAGACTAGTTTACACTCTAACATGGCTATAGCCTAGCTCTTACTAATCATGAATATATATTTATATTATATATGGCATTCTCTACAAGGGTATAACGACTGTTGATGCTTACATACTCGCACGCATATATATACATATATACAGATATATATATATACTACATATTATATACTACATAAAGATGCAACATATCAGTTAAGCGTGTTAAATAATCATTATAAACGATGGCAATTACATCAAATGTTAAAGCAACGTTCTCTTAACAAATTATATGAAAAATCAAGTACAGTTTATTGACTGTCGTCGCTTCGTATAGTCCAACCCGATATCGGTCTATATAGATACATGCGAACTGGTAACTACGGCGCATCAATACTTGTTGTACACGTTCCTGTGCGGGCTCTCAAAATAATATTTAAAGAAAAACCACAATTTATATATATATATATATCAGAGGAGGTATGTTGGTAACTAAAAACAATAACTTTAAAGACTTTTGCAACAGACTTTTGTGCAGAGTAGCGCATTTTTTCCAAACTCCCCAAAGAACAAGAACAACAACAACAACAACAATATGTCGCCAATTATTGCATTTGATACAAACAAATTTTTTAATATCACAAAAAACAACAACAACAACAACAAAATCAAAAGCAACAACAACAACAACAAAGGGCACCAAATGGTAGTTAGGAACTAAATAGCAAAATCAGTCAGTCGCCCGCCCCCTCTCTCGATATATATAGGGGCGGGGTCAGCTCAAACAAAGCGCACTTTCAAAGCATTTCACAACTTGGCAATATTTCAAATGTACCTAGCACAAAACTATTTAAAACCTAATCGAAAATATAATATGCAAATTATTGAAAAGAGGAGCAGAGCAACAAAAACCTATTAAAGCAAATACAAAACATGCACATATTAAATAAATAATAAAACAAGTAAACTAATTCTGGTCGGATGTGCCCGACTGGTACATACCCTGAATCCAAGCATTTTAAGCTTCCTTCTATGCACATTGAACAGAAACATAGACACACTGCTTTTCTTGGTCCCTTTTTTTTTAAAAGCTTCGGTATTCATTGTCCGATCTCTAACAAATTTTCAACCAAACGAGTTAAACAAAGGCCAATTATTGCCACGAAAATGTTTTATTAATGTCTTTAGCTTTTATAGTCTCTGAGATGAACGTCTTCACAGACTCAGCTTATCCTCCTGTTTCAGAGCACATATACCCTAAGGGCTCAGAGTAGCCTGCCTCTGCCTGTTCCCTTCCTAAATTGGTTCAATGGGTTCAGGATATATTTACTCATGCACTAGCATTGCAGCAATGATAAAAGTGAATAAATTAAATAAAATAAATATATAAACAATTATTTAAATGTAGGTCAATTAGCCAGGCAATTAAACGGAGCAAGCTAAGAAGAAGTTAAGCATTTAAAAAAGTAAATAAAAATAAAAATATTGAATGTATTTAAAACACAAGAAAGTCAATGATATATTAAAGTCAATGCAATTCAATGTTAATGTCTGTCTGTATAACTTTTAAAGTTATTAAAAAAAAAAAGAAAAAATATCACACTAAATATATAAAATAAATATATTAAAATATATGCATATAGTAAACACACACAACGATAAACTGTTAAATATATACACATATATATTATATATATAAATATAAAATGAATAAAAATAACAAGCAAATTGTACAAAAATTGATTTTAAGTTGATCGCAAGTTTTTAAATTTAAATTGTTACAAGTTTTAAGTTTTATTTAATGCTAAGTATATTTTAAGTTTCTTTCATTTGCGCCAAGCTCTTGATATTCTTGCAACATATTTTGCAATAATTAATTATGATTATATGAATATTATTAAAATATTATTCAAGCATAAACAAACAACAAATAATTTGTACATTTCGCGGTGCTATATGTAAACATATGTGTAAATGTTGCTTACAAAAATTCCTTTTAACCTTAGTTCAAGCCAAGTCAATTCGATATGCTAGTTCTGGCTTATATTCGACTAGGAATTCAACGCGTATTTCACAAAAAAACAATTACAATTATTGCAAAACGTATTTATTGCATAAATACATATACATATACATATACACATACATATATATAATATAAAATATTGTTTGCAAACTGAAAACAACTGCGAAAAGACGAGATAAATGTTATCAATAAAGAATATAGTTGAAAATTCAAATCCCCCCCAGTTAATTTAATTCATTCACTTATCGCTCACGATTACAGCCCAAGGTTGCGGAACAGGAAGAGTAACTGGGCAGCGGTTACTTTGTGCGTATCTGGCGACAATTGCCAGCGCAATTCAAGATCAATGTGGGACTCTATTAAAAATAGAGACGCGCGATGACAAACGTGGCCCCCGGCATGAATCACAATGAAACGCACAAAAGGCTGGCCAACAACAAGACAGTGACAAGCCCATAGAGCAGCAAAAGAATGTTGCACACTATGGGATACCCTGCATGCAGATCGAACGTAACCTAAAACTTGATTGTATGCATTAAGTAAATATATATGAAGAGGGGTTTTCTGCAGCCAAAATTGCAAATAAATAGGAAGTAAATACCCTGTAAATATCTAAAGTACCAATTAAAGAAGGATGACCAGCTATGGGACACCCTGCATGCACATCGAACCAAAATTTAATTGTTTTTTTTTTTTAAAGAAAATACACAGAAAGGGAACTTATTTGCAGCACATGTGACAGCAGTGATCGACTATAAAATACCCTTTATATATATCTGAAGTCACGCAAAAATAAACAATATATAAATGTGCACATGGATAACACGTGCAGACAAATATATGTTCCTTTTCACGTTCTGTTTCCACTACCTAAAAAAAAAATTAGCATAAATTACATGAAAACCTTGCTGCTTTAGTCAGTAGCTTATCAAGCCTTGGCGTGGCTTCCTAGCCCTTGCTGTGATCAGCTTCTCCTTTTTCAAGTATTTGCTGGTAAGGCTAAATATCTTCTCGCTGCCATTATCAGCAGTTAGTCATGTTGAAAAGAATTCTCGAATAATTCCAACAGAAGTAGTTAGCTTTCTTGTATAGTATATAACCTCTGTATGTTACCTGTTACATACACTCTCTTGAAACAGGTTTGCCCTTTATTATCAGCTAATGCTTACAGGGTATAAAACCAGAGCAGACTGTGAAGCACATAACGCGCACAGCACTTTCGGCATGACAAACAGTCGCCACACGCGCTCACACACACACAAGAGTTGAGTGTGTGGGCGTATGGGCAAATTGGCCGACAGGTGGCGTGTCAGGCGGCGGGGGGAGTGGCAGGTTGAGCTGTATGTGAAATGTAGAGCATGCGATAACTTTCTAAAAAAAGCAACACAAAGAAATGTCTTATCAAATTCTTACATCCGATTAGCATAATCGTGACCATGGAGCAGAAATCGACAAATGCGAACAAATTATAAAATGGCCTTTATAAATTAGGAAATCGAGAAGAGATTTATAATTATAGAGGCAGCAATTAGAGTGGACCAGTAGAAGCGACGTCATACGTTAAAAGCTTATTATAGGGTATGTTTATAGGGAGCAACAATTGACAAATTATAAATTAAAAAATCGAGAAGAGATTAATATTTATAGGCTACAAATATAAGAGACAAATTGTTCGCGTTAATAGCCAGCAATTAGAGTGGACCAAAACGCGACGTCAGCGCGCGCTTTGCTCTCGGCTAATTGTCATACGTTTACAGCTTATTATAGGGTATATACTAACAGAATTACAATACGTAGAAGTCGAAAAAAAAACCTGAAACAAGATTAAACCTGATTGGCTTAAGTCCACAGTTGTTGTTGTTGTTGATGATGCGCATAAAAACCGCTCAAAACTCTGAGTGTACGCGACTCGGATTGATATATAAGTATATAAAATATAAAATATAAAAAACCCAAGCCACGGGCAATAATTGTGCGGAATTAAGTGAGTCGCGATGCCTAGCCTCAACTTCAGTTCACAGGTGTGCGTTCAGGTGTGAAGTTCAGTTCAGATAATGTCAGTCACATTCGTAAGTTCTGCATTTGCATCTTTTCATATAGTCGAGGCAAACATTTCCCGAATCCCAATCTCCATGCACACATTTATCTTCCGCACAGTTGACGCTCTTGGCCCTGTGGAGCCTGCTGCCCGCCGTGGAGAATGCGTATGTATGGGTCTTGCTCTAAGCCATATGGCTGTGCCAGGCTGAATGTGTGCTCTTTCTCCACCTGCAGCGTTTATATCAGCCAGGATTTATTGCCAGCCCTGAGGCGCCAGCCTCGTCATGACCGGGATTATTCGGCTGAGCCTTTGCTCTGCGGCCGGCGCAGCAGGCATCGCGCTGCACCCGACCATTGGCCTGGCCATGGACACGGGCATGGATATGGACATGGCTATGGGCACGGGTATGGGCACGGGTATGGGCATGTGCCAGGTTTTGGCTTTGGTTTTGCGCCCTATCCGATGCCATTTGGTTTTGGCTTTGCTCCACCCGGCAATGGCTATCAACAGCCCGGACCGCCCTATAAGACTCCATTGGCGCCTTTCAAAGGTAGCTTCAAGTGTTTGGGCATGAAATTTGCCATATATTAACTGGATTGTGTGTCTTGCAGATAACCAACAGGCTTCCACTGAGCCCAGCCCGAGCAGCGAAGCGTCTCCCAGCACCACGCCCAGCACCACGCCCAGCACCACTCCAAGCACCACGCCCAGCACCACCACTGAGGATCCCACTTTGGCCATTGATATACGCAGTGGTCTTTAGATAACTGCCTAGTCTTAAGCCTAAAGTTAATGTATGCACTTGGAGAAAAAAGAAGTGATGTATGACTCGAATAGAATACAATTATTTTTGATCCTATTTTATTATTCTATTTAGCCTAAAACCCAGATTGATACTGATATGGATATTATTCAAAATATAGATTTTTAATTAAACGAGCGAAATTCTTCAGTAATAATGCTCGATATAAAAGATATAAAAGTTCTGGCAGGTCGTAATAATAATAAGAATGAACCATTAGAATAATAAATATAAACAAATAAAGTAAATACATTTTTAGTAGCTTGCAATTCTCAAACAGTTCAAGCTGCGCGAAGGGTAAGACAATTCCGCTGTAGATCTCAAACTGGAAGGCGTAGTAATAGTATTAAATACAAATTAAATGCCAGCTTGCAGCTTACAATTCGCAACCAGTTAAAGCTGCGAGTAGTCAACAATTCTAGAGTAGATCGCAAAGTCTGCTGTTGCCCAGCTTTATTTTAATATATATACAAAACAAGCATATACATTTGATTAAAGCAAAAGATTCTTCTTCCCATTTTCTCTGAGTGTATATAGTGCATAGAAGTAAGCCCCATTCCAGCCGGCTTATCTGTGCATTAGGCGAGGCCAACGAACTCCTTTCTTTTTGCCTGCCGTTTGCCTTACGCACTTTAATGGCAGGATGGGCAGCGGAAGTGTTATCCGAAACGGGTTTATCCATTTGCTTATTCTAGAACATAAACAAACACGACTCTAGTGACAGACAAAACAAAACAGAATAAAACAAAATGAAAACAAAAACAAGCAGAAAGAAAGTCGCGAGATCTGGAATTGAGCACAGTCGTAACCCAAACCCGAGCCCGAGCCCAAAACCAAAACAAGAAGAACAACACGAAGAAAGAATCTTTGCATCGCACGCACTTTGGCCAGGAACAAAGAGGCGCACCCGAAGAACCGGACCCCCATCTCCCAACTATAAAAGCGGCGCTCGCCCCGACTACGACTGTCATTTGACGCCAAACGGGCGTCGCATCAACTTGTCGGAGATCCCGGTTCCAATTCGTATAGTTTATAGCATTAAGAAATGGGTAAGCCTCGCCCTGCATATTAAGTGAGTGCCGCGAATATAAAAAAAAAAAATATAAAAAAATAAATATATCGGTGAATGAACTCGTTTGGTTCAACGCATTATGGACACACGACCTTAGCACGCCCAAAAGAAAAGAAGGAATATACATATACATATAGATATATAGATATAAATAATAACCAGGCACGAGTGCATCCAAAGTTTTTATTTTGATTTTGATTTATGCATGCAGCTCGCGTGGATCTTGAAAAACAAGTCGCAACATCGCAACTACCTTTCGGGGAATCGGCTTAAAGTCGTTGGAACTTCCAGACTTATGCGAAAAAAAAATGATAAGGCTTAAGCTAATGAAATGCAGAAAATGTAGATACCTTACTGGATCTGCCTGATTGATCAGTTTTCCTTTGTCTCCTATATACACCTGAAAAAAAGTTATGTATTCCGAATGGAATGGAGGATAAGCTAAGTCGATCCAGTCAGAAACTGATAAGGTTTTCAACTAATGAAATTCAGAATATATAAATACTTTACACTTAACAGGAATACTATAAGAATTGACTATATTGATCAGTTTTCTTTTGTCCCCTATGGATACGGAATGTATGATGAGCTTAGTCGTTCCAGGCACAGCCATATTATATTGGTCATACCCATTAAAAATGGGTATAAGTGTATATTGTATTTGTGCAAAATCCAAATGTATGTAACAGGCAGAAGGAAGCTTCTCCGACCCCATAAAGTATATATATTCTTGATCAGCACCAATATCGGCCGAGTCGATCTATCCATGTCCGTCTGTCTGTCCGTCCGTCTGTCCGCCCGTCCGTATGTATGAACGCAAGGATCTCAGAACCTATAAGAGCTAGAGACATGAAATGTAGGTGTAGGTGCTCCTAGTTCCCGCGCAGATCGAGTTTGTTTCCGATAATCGATATCGATATCGATATCCTGTTTTTTAGGCAATTTTGGTAAATAATAAGAGCTAGAGTCACCAAACTTGACATATAGCTTCTAAAATAGAATCTATATATGCATTTGATGTTGGAAGAAGAGGGTTCAGGGTATTCCCTAGTCGGGAGCTCCCGACTAGAACCTCTTACTTGTTTTTTATCTGAACAGTTGATCAAAGTAAACACAAATGAATTATAATTATTTTATAGCCAAATAATATGAAAGAATTTCTTCCAGGTTCTGCTAAAAATAAAAATAAACCCTCTTTAAATCCATTTCTTTTGTTTTTTTTGTGCACCCAGCGCATCATCATACCATGCTGCTGGTACTCCTGCTGCTGGGCGTGCCCAGCCTGATCCTGGGCAAGGATCAGCCGGCGCGCATTGTGTGCTACTTCAGCAACTGGGCCGTCTACAGGCCGGGCATTGGACGCTATGGACTGGAGGATGTGCCCGGAGATCTGTGCACGCATCTGGTGTACTCCTTTATAGGCGTGGACGAGAAGAGCTGGGATGTGCTGGTCATCGACCCGGAGCTGGACGTCGATCAGGAGGGCTTTCGCAAGTTTACGCAGCTGCGACAAACGCATCCCAAGCTGAAGCTGCAGATAGCCGTCGGCGGCTGGGCGGAGGGCGGCGCAAAGTACTCGAAAATGTCGGCGGTGCGCGAGCGCCGGCAGAGCTTCATCCGCAGCGTGGTGCAGTTCATGCGGGAGTACGACTTCGATGGCTTCGATCTGGACTGGGAGTACCCGGGCGCCACAGATCGCGGCGGCAGCTTTAGCGACAAGGACAAGTTCCTCTACTTCGTGCAGGAGCTGCGACGCGCCTTCGATCGCGAGGGCCGAGGCTGGGAGATCACGATGGCCGTGCCCGTGGCCAAGTTCCGGCTCCAGGAGGGCTATCACGTGCCCGAGCTGTGCGAGTGAGTAGCTGCCTCCTAGCGAGCTGAGCTGCCGACTAATTAACTCCACTTCTCTTAGACTCCTGGATGCCATTCACGCCATGACCTATGACCTCCGCGGCAACTGGGCAGGCTTCGCGGACGTCCACAGTCCGCTCTACAAGCGCAAGCACGATCAATACGCCTACGAGAGACTCAATGTGGTAAGTGATCCGAGCTATCCACAGCTCCTGCTCCAGCTAAATCCTCCCAACTATTCAAGCACGACGGCCTGGCCTTGTGGGAGGAGATGGGCTGTCCGGCTAATAAGCTGGTGGTGGGCATCCCGTTCTACGGACGCACCTTCACGCTGAGTAACTCGAACAAGAACTACAACATGGGCACGTACATCAACAAGGAGGCGGGCGGCGGTGCGCCCGGGCCGTATACGAATGCTAGCGGTTTTCTGGCCTACTATGAGATTTGCACCGAGGTGATGGACAAGTCGAAGGGCTGGACCGTCGAGTGGGATGAGGCGGGCATGGTGCCCTATACCTACAAGGATACACAGTGGGTGGGCTATGAGAACGAGGCCTCGGTCCAGATCAAAATGGACTTCATCAGGGCCAAGGGCTATGCTGGCGCCATGACCTGGGCCATTGACATGGACGACTTCCATGGCCTGTGCGGCCCCAAGAACGCCCTCATGCAGATACTCTACAACAACATGAGGGGCTATCGAGTGCCGGAGCCGACGCGCGAGACAACGCCGCGGGTAAGTGTGGGCCAGGCCCAGCCGAAGGATCGGGTGTGTGTCTAATGTGGATTCTCTCCCGCCCTGCAGCCCGAGTGGGCCAAGCCACCCTCGACTTCACCCAATTCCGATGAGGCGGTCAGCAATGTGCAGCCCACGACGACGACTCGTAAACCGAAGCCAAAACCCACCTCAACGGGAGTTCGCCCCACGTCAGCGCCAGCTCCAGCTGTGCCCAGCACCACCGAGAAACCCACCACAAAGGTGCCTCCCTCTGGAAAAGATCTCTTCAAATTACGTTTAATATTTTCGTTTTGTAGAAACCCAAGAAGCCCAAGACAACCACAACAACGACCACAACCACGACTGAAGCGCCCGAGTTAACCGAGGAGCCCGAACCGATTGTAGATCCCGAGGAGAATGCCACGACTGGGATTGAGTTTGATCCCAGCGAAATTGATTGCACCAATCGCGACTTTGTGCCGCATCCCAACTGCAGAAAGGTAAACAACGAAACGAGGGCTGCAAGACCAAAAGAAAGAGAGAGTCGGGCAATGCCGACTAGGTAATACCCTGACTTACGAACAAACTAGCTTTCTTCTACGCATACATGCACAAGATAAAACACACACACACACACACACACATAAGCTGAGCACATTCTGCAGATGCTGTGCGTGAAGAATGGAAGAATTCCTTACTTCCCCATCATTGAAAATTCTCCCTGAATTCTCTTCGGTAAGTGTAGTCCGATCGTTACGAAAATTTGCGGGGCATCAATATGACATCCAAATCTGTGCAAATACCAAAGGCCAGTACTATGTCTCCAAAAATTTCTGTCTTTTTCAACATTGGAAAGAAGGGAAACAAATTTTCCTTTTTCCAACATCGAAAGGGAAGAAAATTTCCCTTTTTTTCAACTTTGGAAATAAAGGAAGAACATTTTTCTTTTTTTTTCAACACTGAAAGAAGGGAATAAAATTTCCCTCTTTTTTAATATTGGAAAAGAAGGGAAGAAAATTTCCCTTTTTTCAACACTGAAAGAAGGGAATGAAAATTTTCCTCTTTTTCAATATTGTAGAGAAGGGCAGAAAATTTCTCCTTTTTCCAACATCGAAAGCTAAAAAAATTTCCCTCTTTTTCAATATTGGAAAAGAAGGGAAGAATGTAAATGTATTCATGTGTCTTATGTGTGCTATACGTGAGTCTATATACAAAATTTGTTTTATCTAGCTAAAAAACAAAAACGGTATGTCGTTAGTATAATGAAATTAGTATATCGAAATCGGCTTGCAGCTTTGCTAGAGATCAGCCAAAATGTTCCATAAAATTTCCCAACTATTAACTTTTCCTTCCAGTACTTCCGCTGCGTGCACGGCAAGCCCGTGGAGTTCGAGTGCAAGGAGGGCACGGCTTTTCACACTGTGCTCAACGTTTGCGATTGGATTGAGAACAGCGATCGGTACTATTGCACCCGCATAAAGAACAAGGATAATGGAAACGAGACCCGCTAGATCGGAATTTGCAGCATTTCTATAAACTATATAAACTATATAAAAGCCATTTGATTTGTTAGTTAAGGTAACTATTTTAAGCGCTCAGCGAGAGCGAGTGGTAGTTCTTAGGCTTCAAGTATTTATTATATGATAATATATATAAATCACATTTAAAGAAAGACAATTATATTACTTTTGCCCAGACGAAAGCAATAAAAATTGAAAGACAACATAAAATGTGCTTTAAATGAGCCGGAAAGAAATATATTTTAGAATCTTAAAATGAAACACATTTGGAGATTGGAAAAAACCAAAAAAAAAGAATATATTTTGTTTTAAGTAATACCTAAAGGTAATATCGTAATATTAAGCACCTGCATCGGATTATATAATTAACCGTTCGATAAAAATATAAACTTAAGAGTCTGTATCGAACCTTGGAATAAAAGCCCACATCCAACAGCTGTTTGTGCAATCAAGCATATTAATGAACGGTGATAAATGCTATGAGAAATTATATTTTCATATTTTACAACTGAATTCCCACGCTGAAAGAGGGGGAGAGAGAGGGTGAGAGAGGGAGAGAGAGAGAGACAGACAAATTGCATTATATTTAATCATTTGTGACAAGAAAAATAATCGCCGAGCTCTGAATAACGAATAGTACTCGAGATTTTTATGGGTGAATGTGCCAGATTTCCCTTTGCACACATATATTTCTTTTATATAGTTTTTTCTATTTATTTCTGCTCTTGAGCTAGCTGCTCTGAGTATTTTTTCGAATGAGCAAATCTCTGGCTATAATTAAACACTATTCCAAAATTTAGATACTTTGGAAGTGTGTCCTTAGCACAGAGAAAACTAAAGATTCTATAAATATACATTTAAAGAGCGTAAAATGATTTAAGGAACTAGCTCAAAAGTCACATAATAACTGGAACTGTTTCAGTTCCTTTGCTTAAATTTCCCTACTAGCATTTTCCCTTCACTTAAAAATTGCCCTAGTCACAGCTGGAACTTTTTCAGGTCCTTTGCTTAAATATCCCGACTTAAAATTTCCCTTCACTTGAAAATTACCGTAGTCACACCTGGAACTGATTCAAGTCCTTTGCTTAAATTTGCCTACTAACTATTTCCCTTCACTTGAAAATTGCCCTAGTCACAGCTGGAACTGTTTCAGTTCTTATGCTTAAATTTCCCCACTAACAATTTCCCTTCACTGGAAAATTGTCCTATTCACAGCTGGAACTGTTTCGGGTCCTTTTCTTAAATTTCCCCACTAGCAATTTTCCTTCACTTAAAAATTGCCCTATTTGTTGTTACAGTTTACTCCGACAAATTTCCCCAACGCTCTCTCTCTCTCTCTCTGAGCGCCTGCTAAAGAGATAGATTGTGCTTTTGACAAAATTTGCGCTACAAAAATATCAAAATGAAATAATTTTCGCGGTCACAAGGTAAATTCATGGTATATGCATGTTGAGTTACGAATTGGTTTTGGACCGGGAGAGATCGTCTCGTATACTCGTGTACGCAATATCACCATTATATTTCTAAACTTGCCTGCTTTTTACAAATGCCAGAAAATAGATATAGCTAAAACTTGTGCCGAACGTCGTCTCAAAAAACGAATCGCACACGCCGTGCACAGACGACGGGCCACAAATAAGCAAATTATTTAGCTGACAATCGTCGAAAGGGACACTAAGGATTACCCAGCCGACGATTGTCCGTTAAACTTTGCGAGCGGCTAGCTAACGCGAGAAAAAAAAACAAAAAATTAAAAAAAAAAAAAAAAAAAAATTGTGAAAAAAAAGAAAAACGAACAAGTGCAAAAGATTCTTAAGTGTGACAACATTTGTACGAGCCCAATTAGTTATATTTAAAAAAACACACATAAATAGTACATAGTATACCGTTAATATACACACACATATATATATATGATCTATACACGCAGAGAAATAATCTATAGCATACATAATTTCTACCCTTTCACGCAGTGCATTTAAACGAGCGCATATATTGTGGTTATATATATGCGATAAATACGAGCATAAGTGATTTTTTTGAATACATTTTTCCGAATTATCAATAATAATAACGGGATAAATACGAAAGCCAAATAAAGGAGGAATTTATGACGTGGCTACAGTGCTAATCAAACTGGGAAAACTCAAGGATAATTTGTTGATTTTATGATTATGGGGCGGCTAACAATTTGGTTCCTGCTGGGACTTACGTTAATCGCCGTTACCAACAATGGTGAGTTTCCACGATTATATAAGCAATAATAACGGTATTTTCTTGCGCACACAAGTCCCACTATTTCGCAGCGGCCATTATGCAATTTTCAAAAAAGAGAGAGCGAGAGAGCAAGAGAGAGTGAGAGAGATGAGTTGAAAATTAAATATGTATGTAATATGTATATTTAAAAATATTTGCCTGAGCTGTGTGTGTGTGTGTGTGTGTGCTTGTGTGCGTGCTTGTGCTTGTGTGCGTGTGCTTGTGCTTGTGTGTGCTTGTGCTTGTGTGTGTTTGTGCAAACGTCAGAGACGACACTTTTGAGCATTCAAATTTTGGCCTAGACTCGTTGGAAAATACACACACAGCTGCAGATCGCACTAATACAGGCACATTTCACTTTCTTCTTCTTTCACTTGTGTTATTTTATTTTATTTTTTCTTTTTTTTCAATTTTTGTTAGCCGAAACGCGGCAAACGTTCGGTCTTGCCTCGTTGTCATCGTTTGTAATATTTTTATATTTAGAATTTTTAAGTTATTTTATGTATTGAGCAAGTATCTGTGTCTATATGGCCGAGCCGAGCCGAGCCAGCCCGTACTTTTGTTTGCTTTGCAAAAAGAGAAGAAAAAAACAAAAAAAAAATAGACATGATCTATATAATACATATATATATATATATATATAAGTACGTGGGGATAGGTTGCAGGCAACATAAACACAATATGCAAGCAGCCATCGGACGGATTTGTATAAATAATTCTGGCATGGCAAATATCTCAAATAGTTTGCTATATTTGTATAGAAATACGCCTAACACTATGCGCAAATAAATCAGGGCAAATTATCCGCTGACAGCTGCAAAAAAAACGTACTTTGATAAAAATGGGCAGCACTTTGCATCGCTTCCATGTAGCAAGCTTTCCATGAGCAAGTAATTAGCAACGACCTTAAAAGCAGCTGTCACTCAAAACAGCTCGACCTTAGTTTGATAGAGAAATGGACGCAACACTCTCACTGCCAAATCGGACCCTATAGACCTACCTATATAGTATATATGCGCCCACGTCACAAACTGCCCGAACTGAGCATGGAAAAGTCAAGATATGGTGGGCGAGTGGCCAACAAAAATTAGAATACCCATTCAGATTTGCTGAAAAGCGACCAGCGACTAGCGAAATGTGTTTGAGTTTTTGGCTTTTAAAAATAAAATTCATAATTTGCCGAACATATTTTACAGTGTGCGTGCGTATGTGTGTGTGTACCATAAATAATGTCAAGTTTGAAAAGATAAAATAACCTCGGCGCTGACATCAAACACGGAGGCGGCCAGAAAACGCCAAGTACGTTATAAATTAAGTCCGATTCAGAGAAGAACCTACAAAAGTTAGCCAAAAATCCAGATGGAATATCTTTGACTTCAATCCAGAAAAAACTAACCTTGTGAGACTAAAAGATAGGGCATAATTTGAAAAAGATCGTCTAGATCGAAAATATACAATAATAATATAATTTTATATAAATTTCCTTTGTACTTCCTGAAACATCCTACAGGATGTCTTACCCTATAGGAAACATCCTACATAAGACATACTATATGAAATTCCATGAAAATTCTTCCTACACTAAACTTGATCTCAATTAAAGTCCATTTGACTTAACCTTCCTTCCTTCCTTCCTTTCAACTCGAACATGATCTTAAAATATAATACAATTTATTAAACTCTATTCTTGTCATAGATCTTGGTTAAAGCCTGTAACCGATCTTCATATTTAATTCCTACTTGCTTCAAATTTCTTTTGCAGTTGGGTTTGCCAATGCGGATGTCGGACCGAGCGAATCAGAATGTCGACCCTACATTGAAAAGGCTATACATGAACTGAAAACAGGTAAGTTACGCCTAGCAAAACCTATTCTAGAGATTATTCCGTTTTGGTAGATTCCACTTGCAAGTGTGGAAAATCGGCGGAATGCCCGTTGTATGCAACTTTTGTCTTTAGCTTCCACTCGGCTTCTAAATTATTTTCAAAGACCTTTCGAAAAATGCATTAGACACGTGTTTTATACCCAAAGGTTTCTTTTTTGGCTTCAAACTTGAAAACCCTGAGACTAAAGTGTGCTATCCGGAGGTTTCTAATTCGATTTCACTTATTCGAGCTAATTTTCAAAAATCATTTTCAAATAATGAACGTGGAGTTAGTAAGGGGAGTTTTGGGATTTCTACGGCCAGTAAATGGTTGGATATTTGATATTTGATTAATTATAAAGCAAAGAACTTGAACCGAACCGAGAAACGATTAGCCTCTATAGCATATGATTTTCCGTCCAGATGGTGTCAGAGATGGTTCCGGAGAACTGCAATCCGATCAGCCTAGTAGGGATGATGATGACGATGATGATGGTGGGCTTGATGAGAAAGAAACTGTTGAAATTACTGATGTGGATTCCACAGAGGACGCGAAAGGCGTCAACGACCTTGACGGCGATGGCATACCAGATGATCAGGACGACGACATAGACGGCGATGGCATACCGAATGATGAGGACGATGATATCGACGGCGATGGCATACCCAATGACAAGGATGACGACATCGATGGCGATGGCATACTCAATGAGGATGATGACGACATCGATGGCGATGGCATACCCAATGATGAGGACGATGACATCGATGGCGATGGCATTCCCAATGAGAAGGACGATGACATCGACGGAGACGGCATACCCAACGACGAGGACGATGACATCGATGGCGATGGCATACCCAATGATGAGGACGACGACATCGATGGCGATGGCGTACCCAATGACGAGGACTCTGACATCGACGGCGATGGCATTCCCAATGAGAAGGACAACGACATCGACGGCGATGGAATACCGAATCAGGGTAAGACCTTAGTCGCATGTGACATCTGTTATTCCCTTCATGGCATTCTCTTTGCGTGCAGAGGACAACGACTTGGATGGCGACGGTTTGCCAAACGAGAAAGACGAGGATTTGGATGGCGATGGATTGGTGAATCACGGTGAGTATCATCTAACGTAGCAGGCGAAATTATGCAAGGTTCTATTTATGCAGAGGACGAGGATATCGATGGGGATGGTACTTTGAATCACGGTATGGACTAAGCACCCCAGTTCTTCGACTCATTCTGCTCTACCCCACTCTAAATACCTAATTAATTATTTCTTTCATTTAATAATAACTTTATTCGTAACTTACATATGCCTTGCTCATTTTACTCACACGGAATATGTTGCTCATTGTAGAGGACAACGACTTGGATGGCGATGGCTTGCCAAATGACAAGGATGAAGATCTGGATGGCGATGGCAAAGTGAACCATGGTAAGTCCTCTGCGATCCTTTATGCATAGTTTCCTAGTTTAATAAACATCCTTTACAGAGGACGAAGATATCGATGGAGATGGTACCCTCAATCATGGTAAAAACAAACCAAAAACTATCTCCCATAATCGAACGTAACATATAATTGCTCCCGGAACAGAGGACAGCGACATAGATGGCGATGGCGTTCACAACGATGAGGATCACGACGTCGATGGCGATGGCCTGTCCAATTCCGAGGAGCCCCAGAGCATGGATATCGATGGGGATGGTGTGCCAAATAGCTTGGACGATGACATTGATGGCGACAACAAGGTAAACGAAAAGGACGAGGACATGGACGGCGATGGTATCTTGAATGTGCACGACAATGACATGGATGGCGATGGCATTCCCAATGTTCACGACGACAGCCATGAGCTCGCCGACGATGACGATGATGACGAGGAGGAGGAGGAGGTGAAAAAACGCAGCAAGCGTGAGGTTGATGCTGCCCCAGTTGTAGAGATTGAGTCACCGCCAAGTCCTGCTGAGGAGTTCCCAGCTGAAGAGGAGGCTTCCAAGGAGGAGGAGCTAGCTGCAGAGGCAGAGCCCGAAGCGGAAGAGGAGCCGGCAGAGGAGAAGGAAGAAGAGCCAGAGCCAGCTGTGTCCGCGGAACAGGTTCCTGTAGAGGAAGAGCCAGAAGCTGCGGCATCCGAGGAAGCCAAAGAAGCGGATGAGCCCCAGGCAGAGGAAACAGCAATCGCTGCAGATGAAGACGATGACGACACCAAGCCAGAAGACGAACTGCTCTGGGTAGGTTTTGGAAGCAGACCTTAGTGGATGGGTAACCTAACCTAATCTAATCAACTCTCTGCTTCTCTGTAGGAAGGCGTAATCCCACAGAACCGTCGCAGCCGGCAGCATATCACGGAGCTCCTGCTGCTGGACGAGGAGTTCAATGCACGGGAGAAGGCCACCGACAATGTGGCCGAGATTATCCTGCGCGACATCAAGAAGATCTATGAGAACGCCGTCAAGCCTTTGGAGACCTTGTACAAGTATCGAGACTTGAGCAATCGCCACTTTAGTGATCCGGAGATCTTCTCCAAGCCATTGATACTGTTCATGGGTCCCTGGTCCGGCGGCAAGTCGTCCATTCTCAACTATTTGACCGACAACGAATATACGCCCAACTCGCTGAGAACCGGTAAGGATTATGATTATTCCCTAAGGAATATCCAAGGAATATGCTTGAAATATGCGTGAAAAACGCGTGGAATATGGGTGGAATATGCGTGGAATATCCATGGAATATACAAATGTGAACTTCTAACTCGGTTTTTTTTTTCAGGCGCCGAACCCTCGCCGGCTTACTTTAATATTTTGATGTGGGGCAATGAGACGGAGGTCTTGGATGGCACCCAACTGGCCGCCGACTATACCTTTTCGGGTCTGCAGAAATTCGGTCAGGGTCTGGAGGAGCGTCTGCGCGGCCTAAAGCTGAAGAACAAGCTGCTCGAAAAGGTAACCAGATATAAATATATATATATATATATGTATAACATATAGGCCAGGCACATGTACTTGTTGCCCAAGTGCATTAACTTGTCGCCCAAATAGCTTTTGGCAGGGCAGCTCGTCGATTGGGAAATATGTTTTTTGATATGCTCAGGCTCTGGCAAATTGCCCAAGAGCACAATTTATAGTATTTGGTTATTAAATGTCGAAAATAGCTAAAGACAATGGCTAAATTAAAGCTAACACACACACACACACACACACACACACATACACACATGAATTTTTGAATTTTTCAGGTCAACATCGTCGAGATACCCGGCATACTCGAGGTACGCAAGCAGGTGTCGCGCGTCTTCCCCTTCAATGATGCCTGCCAGTGGTTTATCGATCGCGCCGACATCATCTTTCTGGTCTACGACCCAGCCAAGTTGGATGTTGGCCCCGAAACGGAGGCCATACTCGATCAGCTGAAGGGGCGCGAGTATCAGACGCGCATCATACTAAACAAGGCGGACACCGTCAAGCCCGAAGAACTGCTGCGCGTACAGGGCGCACTCATTTGGAACATCTCGCCGCTGATGTCGTCCGCCCAGCCGCCACTCATGTACACCACATCGCTGTGGACGAATCCGTACCAGGAGGGAGCACCGGCCCGCCTGCTGCTGGCACAGGAGCGCGCCTTCCTGCGCGATCTGCGCACTGCGATCGATAAGCGTATTGAACACAAGATAGCCAGCGCTCGTCGGTTTGCCGTGAGTATTCATAGCGGAGCCCTGCACCGAGAGAACAAATTGAACAAAAAATACAGCTCGAGCTAATTCGAGCTCGCTTCAAACTCGGTTGCGTTCGAACATGTTGCGACTCGCACAGATCGAACTTCGTTTGATGAATCACTTGTTTGAACTCGTTCGGTTTTGGGCTAAAGCGATTGAATATCCGAGTTGGATTCAAGTAAATTAATCGCTGCAGGGCTCTAACCCATTTATGCACATATAGAGAGATTACCTAGCTTCATTAATTGCAGGTGCGCGTGCGTAATCATGCCAAGATGGTGGACTGCTATTTGAACACTTACTACAATCACAAGACTCTGTTTGGCAACAAGAAGCGCATCTCGGATGATATTATTGATCATCCGCAGAACTATCATATCTATGAGGGTTTGTCCACGCTGACAAATATCTCGCGCTACGACTTGCCCGATCCGGAGGTTTACCGCGACTTTTTCCGTCTAAATCCGCTGTACGAGTTCAAGAAGCTCTCGGAGACATGCACCTATTTCCGGGGCTGTCCCATAACCAAGCTGGATCTGGCCATTGCCTACGAGCTGCCCGAATTGGCGGGCAAATACAAGAAAATGTCGGAAGCCGCATTGGCCAGCATTGAGGCACAGGCGCTAAAGGCCGGGGCGGCGGCGGCGGCAGAGGCGGAGGCGAGCCACGTGCAGGCCGAGCCGAAAAAGACGAGTTGAGGTATTGGCTCCGTCGAGGAGTAAACCTGCCATTTAGTTTGTTTTAATGAGAGTTAGAGAGAATGTGACATCGGCAACGGTAACTGTCTAAGAGACAATTAACTGCATCAGCAATGGAGAGTGAGAGCGTAAGAGAGAGAGAGAGACACACAAAATAATGCGAGCGTGAGCGAGAGAGAAAAACAATTGAGAGCAATATATTGTTAACGTACTTGTCATCCATTGACGCACACACACACAAAGCATTGACGAACAAGAAGAACAACAACAACAGCGTAAGACAAAAGAGAGCGATGATTTTTTTTATTGGAGAGTTTTGGAGAGTGTTATTTTTTTGTTATTTAACATAGCAATCTTTTATTTTCATCTGAGCTGGAATTTTATTTTAAATACTTATAATATAACCGAACTGAGAGCTTTATGAGAGAAACTAATGCACAAGTGAGAGCGTAAAAACCACACACACACAACCACACACATATATTCACCATATGGTGAATTTTGGCAGAGAGAGATAGCATTGAGTCTTTCTAGTAGAGTTAAATCAGCTGAGCGTAGGTAACTTAACGAACAGGCAGAGCAAAATTAAATACGATCTATTGACGATATCTAACATAAAACCCCATATTCACGTAAATTGGAAAATTTCCCTTGCAACCCAGTTTTTAACTAGTTGTTACAACAGCGCACAATTTTTTGAGAGTTTAGCAGTGTTTTTGAACAGGGTTTTTGAGCAACCAACACAAGTTAGTTTATTTTTCAGGCAACCCTATTTCGATGATGTAGTTGATAAGACTTTTTGGTAAAAAGTAAACAGTGAAGACGTTAAAACAATTTTTTCTAATTATGCATGAATGATAAATATAAAGGCATGTGAGATATATAAAATATGTCAAATTTGACAATATATACATATATATAATATGACAAGCTGACAACATATATAAAATAAACTGTGAGAGCGGGTAAAATACACAAATAAATCAAATAAAACAAAAACTTAAAATACCAAAAGAACTCTTTTTCAGAAATAATAAAAGCCCAAGCAACCGTTGCTATTGAGTATTTTTTGCATTTGGCATTTTTTAGTGTGTTTCGATCAGCAGGCGGCCCCGGGTTCCTTTTATCGCCGATAACAGTCCGATAAATAAAATTTAAAAAATACCAAATAACTCTTTTTCAAAAATAATAAAAACCCAAGCAACCATTGCTATTGAGCATTGTTTCGTTTGGCATTTTTTAGTGTGTTTCACTCAGTTGTTAAAACAGCTGGCTATTGAGTAACGTTTGCATTTGGCATATTTTAGTATTAAAGCAGCTGGCCCGGCGTTCAAATTATCGCCGGCAAACCGATAACAGTCCGATAAACACTTTTGCGTAAGAGTAACGAAAAAAAAAAATAAATAAATTGACTTACATATGTTTCACTAGTCCGAAAGCAGTTGAAGATGCACACAGATTTGGCATCACATTTACACACGCCGGCCTGCAATAAATTAATCGAGGAACTCAAAGCCTGTCACGAAAATGTAAGTGAAGCGCTTGCAACCAGTTTTGCGCCGTGTACTAACCGAATGCCTCACCCTCTCGCAGCACGCCTTTGCCAAGTTTATTGGCATTTGCAACACGATCGACGACCAGGTGGTCAAGTGCCTGAAATCCGAGCGTATTGCACGCTCCGCTGCGAATCGCGCCAAGGCCCGTGAACGTCAGGCCAGGTACAAGGAGAGGCTGCAGCAGGGCGAAGCCAACTAAAAAGATATGGCAACGCTCGAAGCAGCTTCCAGTGCGGAGGAGGATCCCTTTGCGCCGTACTACTTTCAGCAGGAGGAACAGCTGATTTGTGGGCAGCTGGTGAGCCCCATTACGGACTGCTATGATGCCATGATGAACTATCCCAGCATGGTGGATCGCTTCTTTACACGCTACTATTATATCAAAGCTGGAGCTGCCTACCAGGTGCTCTATCACTCCAATCGCATTTGCCTCGTTTGCCTGGCGCCCACGCATCCCGCCTACGGCGAGGGCATTGCCACGGTCAGCTACAATGTGGGCAGCGTCGATCGCAGCCAGAATGTGGTCAAGGGCAAGGCCAAGAAGGGCGGCATGATACTGCAGGCGGACACAACGCTGGCCGTGCTCACCACAGACGCAGGCAACACCTATAAAATACCCAGCTGCATACGCGGCAAACTCGTCGAGGTCAACACGGCGCTGCTGACGGACGCCAAGCAGCTGCAGCTGGCGCCAGAGGGTGCCGGGTACTTTGCCATCTTGCTGCCCAAGATCGAGAACTGCGACGATATCAAGGCCAGTTTGTTGACACAGCAGCAATACGAGGAGCAGCGGAAAAGGGGCGAAACATGACGGCGGGCGATGCACACACAATTATCTATAAGACGCTGTTTTGTATAGTGTAAAAAGAAACTGTCAAATAAGTCAATGCACTTTTCTCATTGTAATTGTGGCTTGATTCAAGATTTTAAGCACATTATCTCACAGGCGAATACTAAAAGCTTATATTTAAGGCAGCTAATACCAATATGATTTTTTTCCCCGCGCGAACAGCTTATAAGAGTGAACCAGTGTGAACGCAGCGATTCAAATGAACAAATGCATATATTCTGACGATCTGGCAAGGCCAAGCCAACACGTGTGTTGACAAACAGCTGAGAGTTTTTGGTTTTCGGCAGAATTCGTTTGCTGCAAATCAGAAATAAATTTTAAAATACAAAATGTCAGCGAACAAGAAAACAGAAGCAATGACATATGAGGAAGCCGACAGCTCCAGCGACGAAGAAGCTCAAAATAACGAAAGCAATGGCAAGCGGGAACATGAAGAAGAAGAAGACGATGATGAGGATATGAAAAGTGAGGACAGCGAAGAATCGTACACGGATATCTACAAGGGCACGGAGGTAGGCGCTGTCAGTCCAAAGCTTTGACAAATTACATAGATAACCCATTCGCATCCATTCGCAGGAGCTGCAAGTGGAGTTTGAAGGACGCGCTCCGATAGATCCCGACGCGGAGGGCATTTCGCAGCTGCTGCAGCGTCTCTTTCCGCGCGCCCAAATCAATTGCAATCAGTTGGCCCAATTGCTTATTGGTAACAATTCATCCATAATTCCTATGCACATCTTTATTAAAATCTATCCCTTACAGCTCAAAATTTTGTGGGCAGCGTTATTTGCCAGTGCCTGGACGATGGGCCCGAGAGCGAAACGGATGACAACATGGTCGAGGACGATACCATCTTTGGCATTACCTCCGTGCTGAATCTAACGGCCAAAAAGGAGCAGACCGTCATTGAACAGCTGCGCAAATATCTGCTGGAACGCGCCGAGAAGCATGCCACAAAGCAGGTGCACAAGCAGCTGTGCGAGCTGCTGGACAACGAACAGAGCCACGTCGGCTTCCTGATCAACGAGCGCTTCATCAACATACCCGCACAGATATCCGTGCCGTTGTTACAGAACCTGCAGCAGGAGATCGAGACGGCTAAGGCCAAGAAAATGAAATTCAATTTCGATACGCTGCTGCTGCTGGTCAAATTCCATCGGAATGCGGCCAAGAAGAGCACCTCCGACGAGGATCAGTATACCAATGCCGAGGAGGAGCTGCTGGTCGAGCGTTCCAAGTTCAGTTTTGAGTTCACCGTGGATGCCGAATGCGATGCGGGCCTGGCCGATGAGAGCCCGCGTGCCAAGAAGGGCGTCCTAAAGCCGTACAGAAAACTCTTGGCGCTGGATGCCAAACAGCTGCCGCAGCTAATTAACGACATACAGGCCTTTATAAATGGGGAATAGGATTTATAATCCACATTGAATATATAGTATATTATATATTTATGTAGGCCCAGTAAACGAACTAAGTTGACATATTTTTAGATTATATTTTTCTATAACTGCAAATAAAAAATAAATGTAATTAACATAACAATTTTTAGTTTGGCAAACATTTGTTTAAACACAATTGAGAGACAAATATATTTTACATTTAAATATTGTTGAGTTCGCCTTTGCTTTAGTTGGCAACGCTGCGCCCGAACAGCTGACCGGCTTTATTCAACAGCCATCAGCTGTTCTCGCCTCGCCCCGCCACGCAACGCTCTGTTAACAGCAGCCGTGAACGTGACTGGCAAGAGAATAGCCAAGCCAAAGCCAAGTGCCAAGTGTTTGCGTTTGCTCAGTGCAACGACGTGAGTAGAAGCCGGAGTGCAGTATTATTGTTGTTATTGTGGCTACAATTTCAATTATTGCATTCCGACAATTAATCATAGGTCGTGGACAGTTGTTTGTTATAAACAAAGGCGTCGCGTTGCGCGCTATATAAAGCCCGCTTGCTGCGCTGCAAAATCAAACACAATCATTTGTTCTGTCAACGCAAACGTTTTGGTTAATAACAAGCAACAATTTAAAAAAGAACGAACAAGAATATAAGCAAACATTATCGGCAGCTTATCGCCATTTCCAGTTCCAGTATTCCAGTGTATTCGCAATCTCAACGCACGCCCGTGTCGCCCAGTCAGTGACTCTCCACTTGCCGTTCGCCGCAGTCGTTGCCGCTCTCCACATCATCATCATCAACATGGGACTCGAGAAGTAAGTTAAATGAGATCTGCTTGCATTAGAGTTGCCAACTGTCGCTAAAAAAAAAACAAACTGCAGCCAATTAAAACTAGCTAAATTAACTTTTTGCGCACAAATTGGCAATAAACACAGGTTTACTGAGATGCCGAAAAAAAACAATGGAAATCTGTTTAGTGTCAGCTGTTTTCTCTGAAAAAGCCAAATGCAGCCATAAACTAGCTAAATTGGCAAAACTGCCGCCATTTGCAAGGACAGCTCCAACGAAGAGCGGCTGCAAAGCGCCGCTCTCTTCACGCTCTTTTGTTTGCTTTGTTCTTTTCAAATAACGGCGCTTGTCCGTCAAACGTGTTTTGAAAGGAAAGTTTAAACAATTTTTAATAAGCTTATCAAACTTATCGCAATCGCAGTTATTTAGCGCACTTGAGAAATTGAGATTATCTTCTTATCAGCAACACGCCCCACAAAGTCTTAACACATGCATACATACATGCATACACGCATGCGTACATACATACATGCATGCATACATATGTACATGCATGCATGTAGACATACATGCATGCATACATACATACATGCATGCATACATACATACATATATGCATACATACGTATATATGCTTACATACATACATATATACACACATGCATACATACATGCATGCATACACACATGCATACATACATAGGCACATGCATACATACATTGTTTAGCAAGGCGTGTAGCCCGCAATTGCCCTTCCCATTCGATTGACAAGTAATTGAAAAAAAAAAGGACCGACGTGATTAAATTGCATTTCAATGAAGTTTTAACTGCGTGCAGCAATTAAATGAATGGGAATATATGCATGCAATTCTACTTTTCGATTTCGATTCGATTTCAACCGTAAAAACAAGTACGTTTCGACACGTTTGCTTTCGGGTGTTCTCGAGTGCCGAGTGGAAACGTTTTCCGAGCTGTTTTCATTCCCAAACGAAACCAATTGTCAGCTGCTTTGCATAAATTAAAGTGAAATTGGAGGTACTTCAGAATTAGTTCCCCAATATAATCAAATAAATACTTAAATATAATTATTTTCATTTATTTTGCCAATACCAAATCCACTTCAATTCCACAAAGTTTTGTGTATGCAAGAGAGCTTTCGCTATATTTATATAAACACATTTATATTACAGGAAATATTACCCGACCTTATTCGAGGCAGGTTTTCTTAACTTTAATTCAATAACTTACATTTTCACCCATTTTCCGCTCGTGAAATATTTTCACAACTGAGTTTTAGGCTTATTTCACTAGCAACCACTTTTAAATCGATGTAAAGGGGAAATATTTATTAAATTACTGGAAGCATTGCTAATTATTCAAGAGAACTTTCACTTCACATTTTCACCCATTTTTCACTCGTGAAATATTTTCACAACTGAGTTTTAGGCTTATTTGATTTTCAACCACTTTTAAATCGATTAAAAAGTGAAATATTTTTTGTTAACCTTTTTATTTCTTTCCCTCTAGGCTATTGCCCTGCACCGTTAAGCTGTCCAGTATATTGGCCAAGTCCAGCTACGATGTGCTGTGCGTCATTGATCGCGCTGTGCCCGCCGAGCTGGCCGACACGTTCGAGGAGCATCGCGCCTTCGACAAGGCCTTCGACAGCGTCGTCTCGTGCTTCAAGTCGTCGCAACTGAATCTGCCCGTGATCTATGCGCCCGTCCAGGAGCTGACGGACTATGCCGACGTGCGCTGCTATCAGAAGGCGGCCGCCCAGTCCCTGCAGCGTGCCATTAAGGTGGGTTTGATTGACCTTTGTAAACACTCTAGTATATAAAGCTGATCCCAATCTTTGCTTTTGTATAGGCCGGCTTCCAAGCGCCGCTTCTGGTGGTGCCCAAGAGCAAACGCTTCTCTCAGGCGGAGCTGTGCACGGTCCTTGGCGCTCTGGAGGAGCTCTATGTGGTATGTCAACCCAGGTTCAACATATCTGGTTTTTACTGTACTTTCTCAATTCCTCGCCCAGCCCATTCAACTGCGCGAGGATGTCCCCGCGAAGAAGCAACGCATCAGCTCGCTGTCCGTACTGATTGATAGTCCCAATGCGGAGCGGATCATGCAGGAGGCGCTGGTTCTGGAATCTGGTCGCCTGATTGCCCGCGACATTGGCGGCGGAGATCCGGAACGCATGGCACCACCGCTCGTGGAGGCCTACATAAAACCGTTGTTCGCCAATCTGTCCGTCAAGGTGATCGACGACGTGAATGTCATTAACCGAGAGTATCCGCTGTTCGCTGCTGTCAATCGTGCTGCTCATTCCGTGGAGCGGCATCGTGGTCGGATCATCTACCTCGAGTACAAGCCGCCCGGTCCGGCGACCAAGACGCTGATGCTGGTCGGCAAGGGCGTGACCTATGACACGGGCGGCGCCGACATCAAGGCCGGCGGCGTCATGGCCGGCATGTCGCGGGACAAGTGCGGAGCCGCCGCCGTCGCCGGCTTCATGCAGGTGGTCAGCGAGCTGAAGCCGCAGAATGTGCACGTCATTGGCGCGCTCTGCCTGGTGCGCAATTCGGTGGGTGAGGAGTGCTATGTGTCCGACGAGCTGATCACCTCGCGTGCCGGCGTTCGTGTCCGGATTGGCAACACGGATGCCGAGGGTCGCATGTGCATGGCCGATGTGCTGTGCCGCATGAAGGAGCTGGCCGTTGAGGGAAATCTGCCCGATCCGCATATCTTTACCATTGCCACGCTGACGGGCCATGCCTTCATATCGGCCGGCGAGGGTCAGTCCATCATTGTGGACAACAGCGTGGCCGCCAAGGAGGATCATGCACGCAAACTGCAGGCCGCTGGCCAGGCCTACGGCGAACCTTTCGAGGTCTCCGTGCTGCGCCAGTGCGACTTCGACTTCAATGCCGCCAAGGCCATTGGCGAGGATGTCGTCCAGGCCAACAATGCGCCATCGGTGAGGACACCGCGCGGCCACCAAGTGCCCGCCGCCTTCATGATCCAGGCTACGGGCCTCGACAAGCATGGCGTCGACTCCCCGCTGCCGCTCAAGTATACCCATCTGGACATTGCCGGCAGCGCCGGGGAGTATCCCCTCATGCCCACAGCTGCGCCCATTGTGGCTCTGGTCAAGACCCATTTGATTGACTAGCTGCGATCCGGGCTCCAGGAATATATACAAGCGCCGTACTTATCCTTATCCTTATATAATCACTGTATGCATCACAGCTCAATGTGAATAAACGTCTTTGTATTAATATACTCAATTTAAAATACACTTGCAGAGGGTATTATAACTTTGTCAATCGGTGTGCGACAGCTCTCGCTCCTTTAAAGTATATACAAGTACATACATACATATTCCTCATGATGAGCCTTTTTCCGAAATTAGATAGCTTATCAAACAATTTTGTATATAAATGTAAAAGGGTATATATATTCGGCTTGTCGAAGATTTAATATGGTTTTGCAAATGTTAGAAGAGTAAAGCACATAAGCTCGCTTTTTAAAAGGGTTTTCCCTTAGAGCTTTAATAATATTGTTTTCCGTTAAAGCTGTATTATATAGTCCTTTCGTAAAGATAAAAAGATAAAAAGATAAAAAAATACGATAGTCGTCCTTTAGATCCATAATAATATAGACTTTCCATTAAAGCTTTAATAATATAGTCTTTCCTTAGAGCTATATAATATAGTCTCCCTTTAAAGCTATAATAATATAGTCTTCCCTTAGAGCTATAGAATATAGTCTTCCTTTAGAGCTATATGTTATAATATTGTAGTTCGATTTTCATATGGCAGTTATATTATATAGTGATCCGATCCAGCCGGTTCCAATATAATGCAACAGAAAGACGGACCTGGGCATATTTACAAGACTATATCCTTACAACTGAGAGACTAATTCGCATATCTATATCAACTCGACTGTTGATGCTGATCAGGAGTATATATACTCTATGGAGTGGCAGACGTCTTCTTCTATGCGTTACGAATTTCATGACAAAACTATAATACCCTCTGCAAGGGCATAAAAAGTGTTTAGCTTTTCGAGGCACAAGCTCTGCCATGCTCCTCACACATGATCCACACATTTCAATTGCGAACTGCACAACTCTTCTCACATATAGGCAAGGGTATTTAATCTTCGGTGTGCCTACTTTTGCATAATTGGCAAGCCGTTCTGAATTTTGATTTCTCGCTGATTTCGAGCTTCTTTTGATTTTGTTTGCTGTTGCGCATTTTCTGTGATTTCGCTTGGGCTGCGTCGGCAGCGAGAACCCGTTAGGCGCTGCAGTCGCTGCCGACGTCGCTTCGCCGTCGACGTCGTCTTCGCTGCGCTCGCGAGTGGCCAGCACTTGTCAGCTGTCGCGTTACGTCGCGTTTACCGTTATTGCCTGGCTATGGAAACTCGGTCAAGAGTGTCTCATTCATGCCGTGATTGCATAATATACCGTTGCTCCCAGTTGCTGCCAGTTGCTCCCAGTTGGCCCGTTGTCCGTTTATACCCTGTTGCAATGGTTAGAAAGGGGTATATCGGTTTTGTGCAAGCGTATGTAACAGACAGAAGGAATCCTAATATATATTTACTCTCGATCAGAACGAAGTAAGTAAGTAAGTAAAAAAGCTACAGACTTGAACTTGGAAATATAATATTATCCTATGCCTTATATATATCTTATACATATATATGGAAATACATTATTATCTTTTACCATATTCAGAGCGAGTCTTATCTATATCTTGCCCAAAATTAACAGGATATCGTTTAAAATCGATTTTGAGACTTGCTTCTCTTGAGCATAACTCGAGAACTAAAAGAGCTAGATGCACCAAATTTGGTATGCAGGTTCTCTCATATTAAGCAAAGCTTGGGAATGTTCCATTCTTTGGATATCTATTCCTATCTCCCAAATATTGAAGAAATCAAACAATTTTAAAGGTAAAGCCCTGCGCTCTGGTATGCATACTCCTTTGTATGCCATAGTTAACAGCTGACAATTTCACAAAGATCGCATCATAAAAACCGAAGTTAGTTGAGAATGCATTGTCCATATATGAAGTGGGGCAGGATAAGAAGAAGCACAGCCTAGCCAAGAATGTTAGCAACGGCAACTTGGCGTCGAGCCCAGGGTAACTGCCGGTATGGCACACCCGAACCGAGTACTTTTACTTGTTTATCTTTTTGTTTCTGGCTTATTTTGTTCTCGACTCGGTCTTGACGGGGCTCCTGGGTGCGCTTCTAGGTAATTTATTGACGCATGCCTCCACATTTGACAATGACAACAACCAGTTGCATTTGGCCCATGATCTTGCTCTTCCTCTTGCTATGGCTTTGGACTCTTGCATGCGGCTGGCTAACGGTATTCATTATTGATGAGCGGCAAAAGTCTGCTTCTTCTTGTGCCCCTCTCTTTTTTTTTTGTTGCCATTAGTGTGAATTTATTGGCAAGGCGGAGCGTTTTTTTTTGCCTGGAACCGTTCTGGCCGCTCCGTTAACGGGCCGAGAAGCCAAGACATGACCTGATTATGGCAGGACTGGTTTTTTGTTTTTCTGCTGGGGGCCAACAGCTGCAGCTGTTTGAGTAGGTGGATGAAGGGGGGAGGGGGGGGGGTTGGTAATAAGTTATGGGTGTTTATACACGTTCTTGAGATGGAATCTCGGGATGAGCTTCAATTGTATTCGAGATCTGATCAAACATATCTTTTTTCTATATGTAAGCTGTTTGTCCAGGCTAAATGATTGACTGACTGACTGAATGATTGACTGCTCGACAGACGTTTAACGTTTAAAATGGACCTTTTTTGCTTGCCAAAGATCGACCCGAAATTAATTTTATTTAAATCTAAAGTTATTTCTTAAATTCCATCCGTATTTTGGCGGAAATTAAGCTCGGAGATTTTGTGGCTTAAATTCCCAATTCAAACTCATTTCCAAGAAAATTATTTAAGACGCATTTACACACTTTTCGCACAATTCACATTTATATTCAAAACTCTACTCAAATACGTGCTTTGGGGATTTTTGGATTACTATTCAATTGGCCTCAAGCTCATTTTTTATACAAGTTCATTTTTTCAAATTTGAGACGTGTTTCACGCTTTTCGCTAAATTCACCTTTCTTTGCGATTCAAACGGGGCCAAAAATGAGCGGCAGAGTTTGTTTTCAACGATATTTATAAAAATTACGACTTAAGGCAGCTATTCACCTGGATCCGGTCAGATGTAAGCTTTCCACGAGCGGAAAATGCGTGAAAAGTCAATGTCCATCAATTAAAGCAAGAAAACTGTGCTTGATTCTTGGAAAAGACGTGTGTGAGCGCAGTTTGGGCAATGTATCCATCCCTTATTCACAAGAAATTTGATCAGCCTTAAAATAGTATAAACATATTTTAGCCTTTTCGGGCTCCCAATTCCCCCCCCATTCCCCCAATTGCCCCCTCCAAAAGTAACTCTTGTTTGTTTGCATAAAACGATTAAAGTCCGGCAACAAGTGAATATGTAAACGCATTTAATATGCCAATCCTGACGAATCAGTTGACTTGACGACAACAACACATGCAACAACAACAACAACAACAACAGCAACAACAACTGCAACAACTGCAACAACTATTAAAACAGCACCTTGTCAATTTTGTTGCTTGTCAGTGGCAGACGCTTGGGCTGACACAGCTGAGAGCTGGAAACTGGAGGCTGCTGCTGTTTGTGCGGTATGCAATGTTGATCCATAAATTCACAAAAAAACAGCGAAGCAGCAGCAGCAGCACCTGGTGGCGGGGGGCAACAGCTGCGGCGGCGGCATTAATAATAGCCAGCAACACACAAGCAACACCAAATGAGGGGGGGCTGTTTGCAAAGCTGCAGCAACAACAGCAACAACAGCAGCAACAACAGCAACAGCAGCAACAACAGCAACAACCACTTGAAGCAGCAACGACAGAAATGATCTTAAATGAATGCGGAAGTTTTTCTTGGGGTTTCGTAACCAGCTACACGGCAACAACAACAACAACAACAACAGTAGCAACAGCAACACGCTCCCAAAGAGGTCGCAATTCCAGTGGCAGGCAGCGGCAGCCGCAGCCAAGCTGGCAGCCAAACGCTGTACATGTATTAAACACACACATATACACATATATATATATACATTTATGTATGTGTTAGTCGCTTCGATTGCCGCGAGTCCATAATCATAGATGCAGCAGCAGCAGAAGTTGCGCTCGGAGATTGAGCTGCACGTGAAACGCTTTATAGCCATGGACATATTAAAATTAAGCCAATGATTGCAGCAAAAAACAAAATTGTTAGCCAATTTGTGCCTGGGCCAGCCAATTGGCCGGCTTTTGGGCCAGAAGCGTGTGAATTGGCAGCAGCAGCTGCCGCTCAATAAAGCTAACAAGTTATTTGATAGCCGAAATGGCTGGAAAGCTAAGCGCACAGTGTGCCCAATCAGCCGGAAGATGTTGGCCCCAGCTGGCCAGGAGAAGAAGAAGCAGATGAGGCGGGACAAGCAGAAGAACGGGCAGAGGCAGGCAGCAGGAAGTTCAAGGATGCAATTCGTATCCCTGGGAATGTGCCTTCATTCACAAAACGTGAAAGTTTCTCGAAGAGTGTGCGTGTGTGTGTGTGTGCGTGTGTGTGTGTGTGTGTGTGTGTGTGTGTGTGTGGGCCGTGCACAGCGAGACAATTTTCTGCATAAACTCATAAATATCAATGTGATCTAAGCGCAGCGCCAGGCGCCAGACCAGGACCAGGACCAGAACTAGGACCAGGCCAACAACAACAACAGCAACAACAACAACAACAACAACAACAACAATGGCAACAGCGGCAACACCTTGAACTTGGCGAGCACGTCGCACACACCTTGACAACTCATAAATTAACTGTAAATTATGAACTACAAAACGAGATAAGCGAAATGTGTGTGTGATTTTTTTTTTTTGCCACAACAATTTTCCTTGCAACCACACACGAGCAACATGCAACAACAACAACAACAACAACAACAACAGCAGGCGCCTCATAATCCATAATATTGTGTCATGTTCATGATCAGCGCGACATGGACTTGGCCTCTGCCGCAGTCGCTGCCGCTGCCGCAGCTGACGTCGCCGCCAATGTCGCGTGTGGCATATTTCGTTAGTTTTGGTTTTGGTTGCAAAATTATTTGGAAAAGCAAACGAAAGTAAAAGAAAGATACAAAATGTATCTATATCTGTCTGTGTGTGTGTGTGAGTGTGTGTGTGTATCTATATGCAGCTTCGGGCCACG